TTCTAAACCTCTCATCAAACTGTGGGCCCTTTTTATTATCTTTCATTTTAGCTCTTAGTGATGGCGCACATAAGCGAGAAAACCGCCAAGAAAATCATAAATGTTGGCCCAAATGTGTCTCTTCTTTGGTTATTAAAATACAGACCCTCAAGCTCGGGCAAAAATACATGAAATTATCATCATCTTCTGATTATCAAATGGTTATGTATGTCTCATTAGGTGACAGAAACAGGTTGCTAAGAGACCATTTAGCTTGTTGGTGTTAAACTCCTGATACTTCTCACATCTTCAGTAAAAGTCACATTTCTGAGGTCAGGTGAAACAGGATAAGCACTATTTTAACGGTTCAATTCTTATGAGGATGCAGCTTACAATTACCTTTTCATTTAACTACTAGAGGCTGATGAGTCTTTGAAATTCTATATTGAACCTACAACAGTGTTAAATAGGTGTTCCAGTTTGTGCAATTACATCACATGGTGCCGCAGTAGTACGAGAGTCTTCACATACGCACAGCACTCTTCTGCCCTTCTCGCTGCAACGTACACAGCGACAACATTTCACCTCTGTTACTATCTCAGAGTCTGGCTCATCGACTAAACAAGTTCTAGTTTTGCCACCATTTTGCCTCCCTGACGTTAACATTGACCGTGAGTCGTAACAGAGGCCTATCAGTCCCCTTAAACAGGTAATGTAATAGGTGCTAGTATTACTCAAGATATTTACCCTAAGGGAACTTTGGAAAACTGTAAGTCTAGTTAAAAAGGGTCAGTCATGCATAATTCTGCAGATATTCATACTTATATGTGTTCAATAAAAAAGGGAAATGTGAGTCTGATGAAGCACTAAGGAAATTCATTTGAAGTGTAATCATAAAACTGCAGAAAAGAGGTAAAAAAGAAGGTGAATTTACAGTCTGCAAAATACAGTCAGGATTGAGAAAAATATGTTTTCAATAATCCTTTTTCAACCTCGAGCATTGTGCTTTTCCCCCCAAGAAAAACATGCCAACAGCACATGAAGGCAGCTCACCTCATGAAGCATTTTTTAGTGACTGGGTAGTTGTTTTGTAAATCAGACGCCAATGTAACAGCCCATTATTTTGCTTCTTAATATAAACTGTTTTTTTTACTCCAAATGTTTTTTTCTTTGTTCTGTTCAGGAGGAACTTGACTGAAAAGATTTCAGAGGGGGTGCATTATTAAGTTTAAAATCAACACTCATATACAGTGTTTTATTTTAAAGTATAACATTCATTGTGACCCAGCTTGAGCTTCCACATTACTGTAGTCCTACATGTTCAGACAGGAAAGATGTGTGTTTTTTAAAACAGCACTAAAAAAAAAAACAGGGTAGAGTTCACTAAAGGCGAAAGAACAGGCTTCAATATAATCACCCGAACCATCTGAAAAAATGTGCAGATGAAGAAGTAAATGCATCAGGTACATTACGGTTTAACTACATACTGTGTCTACAGTGTGTTCATATATCTATGTCAAGCGATAGATGTATATGTTGGGAAAAAGGCCCCAACCTTTCAAGATACACTGTACATCTTTCTACAGGGTACGATATAGGGTTATTATTTTGTTAGGAGATTAGCACTCCCATCATAATCTAGTTAACACAAATAATTCAACACCACACCTCTGTAAATCAGTGGCTATAATCTGAGAACCGCTCCAAAAGAGCACAAATCACTAATCCTGACTTCACTTATCCCATCACGCCATTCCAGCGGGCTTCAGACTGTCACAGATAATTCACTACATTTAGAAAATCAAACAAAGCTCCAACATTCCTCTCCTGCTCCTGGTACCACAGAGTCTACTGTGAAATTATACCAAGCACAAAAATATGAGAGCACAAGGAAACGGCCAGGTGGGATCTAATAACACACTGAAGTAAAAGCAAACCAAACTCTGACACATTTCAAGACAAACATTTAGTCTACTCCATGACTGATTTACAGAAAAGTTTGTTTAAAGTGCCAGTATGGACGATTCTACCAAAACTATTCAACATTTTTAATGGTTGACATAATACAGCTACAAAGCTTGGTTTAAAAACTTCTCAAAGGTCATCTCACCTCAGATCCAAACAGGTCCACTTTTGTTGGTCCTTGAAGTAAGCATGTGGCATTCAGGGAAAAAACACTCTGTAAAATGAAGAACTGCAGTCCAATGGGCAATGGTTCACCCCACACTAGTTAGCAATGTGACCATGGCTTTAAATCTTCCAGCTTAAAGACTTAAAATGGTCAGAATTCTTCTCGTTTGAAATGCGTGCTTGTAAAACCTACGACAACGTGGGTGAAGGTGGTCCTAAATGTGTCGCTCTAAGCTCATACGGGGCCAAAGATTCTGAGTTTCGACCATCTGAGTAGGACTTTGTACCCAGTTTTGGTCAAAATGCAGCAGAGAGACAGCTCCTGATAAACAGGTGCTAGTATGTAACCACATCAAATTAACCTGCAAGGTCTTTGGTAGTAAATCATTACAAAGTCAACAGAGAAGAGAGGTTACAGTGTGATGTCAGAGTAAATTGGGAAGCACTCTGTCTGGTTACTCTTCCTCTTAAAAGGCAGTGTATGCATATCCTGGCTCTCACTTTAAGAAATGGCCTCTAAAATCTTCTGCTTTTATTTTAACTTCTGCTGAATGTTTTTTTTCTTCTGGGAGTTGCTTCATATAGAATACAAACTTTGGGGATTATACAACACATCAGGCAATAAAGGCAACATTAAGATGTGTCTATGGCTTTGCTATCAACTCTATTAAAGTTTTCACACTTGCACAAACTCCTGAAAAACTCCTGAAGTTTTCAAGGTGAGCTGCATGTGTGAACACAAACAGCCAAATGTTTCATATGGACTTTATCCAGAGTTTATCTTGCCAGCCCCCCTAGTATTTCATCCACACAAAGTCTGAGTGAGCCGATGTAAGAATGCAGCAGGATATAATCAGGAGAATTCACCTCGACGAGTGGGATGGGATGGTGACGTTTACTGTGCACAACGACCATAGATATGCATGCGACTGATAAGATCTCTGTGCACTTAATGAAACTGCTGCATTATGTTTTTAGTTCACCAGTATGTTCTTCTCCACACTTGTGTTAATATTGTGATTTTGTCATACTACATATAGCATTGATATAAAGGCAAATATTCTCATTATCGTGTTGTACAGCGGACTGTTGCTTTGTCCGTCACTTCCGCATCAACAGGGATAGTCTCCCGCTGTGAGGGGTATGTGTAAACAAGCAGAATAGGAGGATTTCAGGGGTTCTCTCGAAATTTTCAGGAGTGTATATGTGAAAATGGCTTAAGAGGCTGTATTCAGAGAAGGTTAAGCTCATGTCAACATGCTGATATTCTCACAAGAACAATGCTTAGATGCTAACATCCAGCAGGATACATGTTAAGGACAGAGACTGTTTATAAGGAGTGGATGCATCCTCTTGGTTTGCGTAGACAAAGGGGTTTTGGTTTTGCTCAGTTGGTAAAGCCCCATAATCAGGGACTACAGTCTATAGATGCATCGGCGCAGGTTCCACTCCTGGCCTCAGCCCTTTGATGCACCTCTACCTGCTCTTCCACACATTTCCTGTCTCTCGTCAACTGTCCTGTCTGATAAAAGGTCAAAAAAGCCCAAAAGTAATCTTTTAATAAAGACAAGGTCCTTTCAACCTGCTGATTGTAATTCCAGTTGTGGGAAGCTGCAATGGCTTGAGGTCTATGAAAAAAATGACCCTTTTTATTACTCCATTTTTCGCCTCAGTACATTTTTCCTAATAACTTCCTTGTGACAATAAAGCAGGGCAATCTTGAGAACTTGGTTACCAATGGAAAACCAACAAGTCAACAGCACTCCCATTCAGTTGTGATCACTTCTGGCTCAAAATATAAACAAGATGACCATGTCACAAATGCAAAAAGTCAAGGCATACCAATTGGTGTCTGCAGTCTGCAAACCAATTGGTGATGTCATTATGGCTCGTTTAACCTGCTGTTGGCACCAAAGGGAAGTCGAAACCAAATTTCATGGTAATCCATCCATCAGCTGTGAATTATATTACAATAACATTTTTCAGTGTGCTCTGACCAAATTAACCGAAACTTACAAACTGATATTTTATGTTACCAAGATGGTTAAAAGAACTATGATTGTAAAATAAAAATCCTCCTCTATATAAATTATATTCTCCAGTATAAAAGTAGAGTCGTGATCAGCCACAAGTCTGTCATGTAAGCAGTGATGTGTCAGGTATCAGCTGTTCTGTGTTTCATTGAAGACATCAAACAGTCACATTAAATGTTAACTGGTCTGAGCTTCTGCCAACAAAAGTGACAGTTTGTGCAAACACATATGAATGAATAATATTTAACTTTGATATCATCACCTGTTCCATCATAATGCGGTGCTCTGAAATTGACTTGAGACTCTGAGTATTGGGCACCCTGTGATTTGGAGGATTGTCGAGGATATTCAAAGTTGATGGTACATAACGTTGGACCTCAAATATTTGTTGCTCGTCCAGTGACATCAAAACCAATCCTTTGGAAAGGTGTACTTTTTGCTTTTGGTCAATAATTTGGTGAGCCTACAAGTTGTCATGCCATTGTATCCTTCTTTACAACATTTTTAAAACATGCAACTACTGAGGGAGCAAGGCCTGCACCATGTTTAGTGCATCATGGACAGTGATGTTGAGCTATAAGACAGAGCTCATCAGCCATTATGAGCTGGTCTGTGTCTCTGCTGCACATACAGAGTCTTGTAGAGCTTTGACTGACACTACAAGCATATTATGTCACAAGATTCTAATGTGGATACCTGTGTTGTAACTGGGCTTGAGGCTCTATTACAAGAGGCAGTCCTCATTTTTTTTATTTTAAAAACATGTTTTATAGTTTCTGCTGCCAATTCAGCAAATATGCACATGCCATCATGATCACAGCTTCATTTGATCTAAAAAGAGTAACTCAGAGTATTTACCTTCGTTATGAGCAGAGGTTCTCGATGTTCCAGTCCCCCTCTGAGTGTGAATCCCCACGGTGCTCCCCCTGAAAGAAAAACTTCCACCAGGCTGCAGCCCTCTCCATCTCTACTCCTCATATCCACATCTTCAGATTTTTGCCTCACATGCCAAAGTCTCTCTGGTTCTGTATAGTGTTGATCATTTGTATAACCCTCAGTATCCATGGTGCTGTTAGAAATGTAAAGAAACAAAGAATGAGGTCAAGAAATTAAAAAAACCTGATGTGCTCCCTGCACCATCTGCATCAGCTGTAGTAGAGCATCACAGCTTACTGTATGCAGTAATGTTACAAATGCTCCTGTAATTTTTTTAATAAGAATAAAGAGCACCTTCGTTGTCATATTTGTGCAGAAATACAAACAGAGAAGGTTTATTTTCAATCCAGATAAAAAATGCACTCTATCTGCCACCATGTTATTCATCAGTGACTTTGACAACTGAACCTTTGTAACTCGCTTTTAAGACTGGTCAATTGTACACGTTTACTTTTTGCTTTAATGCCTTTGTTAGATTTTATGGGGTTTTTTTGTTTTTTTTACAGTGAACCTTGTTTTCTTCTGATTTTAGTATGTTTTAATTTTAAGTCTCCTAATTTTCCAAGTGAAACACTTAATATCAGATAGCAGTTTCTCTGTCAGTCTATTTGAATGCATGAAACAATCAACTTTAGTATAAAAGTATTACATTCTAACAAAACAATCGAGTAAAACATTAGGAATTAAGTTTAAATAGAAAGTCTAGACAATACTATTCTTTCAAAATACAACTGTGTTTTAATAACTCAACAGAATATCTGTTGCTAGCTTGGCAGCATCAACAACTATAATGCTTTAATCATTAAATAAGGTTGGATAACAAAGTGATCACATAATGGCCTTAGTAGTACATTGACTTGTTTATGAAACACGCCAATACAACTACATGTTATTTAATATGGTCTCACTACAGGGCATTCAAATTAAAACCTTTAAATTCTAAACATCAGTGGGCTGACATCACACTGAGATACCATTGCTATGTAAATAAACTCACTGTTAGTATTTTAGACAAATACATGTGAAGGATGTTTTATTTGTGGATAAAGATAAGTTAGTTTTCCCCCACAAGTCAATGCAATACTTTTTAAATATTGTTTTACTTGATTATACAATAATGCAACCTTTCAAGACACTTTTTAAATATTAATTGTAATAATGGCATGACTATTTGGCCTGAATTAAATGATGTGCTTGTAATTTAAAAGGAACTCCTCTTAAATACACAAGATGATTGTGTAGATTAAGTATCCAGATAGATAGATAGATAGATAGATAGATAGATAGATAGATATAATCTTTATTATCATTGTACACAAGGACACAACAAAACTTTGTTAGCAGCAATCCTAAACAGCAGCATTTACAAAAACAACAACAAAACTATATGAGAGAGAAATGGTCAGAGTGGTCAGAGCATTTGCTGTTCAGAGAATGAATGATAATAATAATAAATAAATAGACAGTTGTGGTGACTGAAAGAATATATACAGTTATTATTTTGCAGTGACTGATTAATTAAACAAATATAAATATAGAGATATAGTGCAAATAAGTAAAGTTATAGTGCAGTGAAAGAGTATATACAGTTATTATTGTGCAGTAACTGGATGAGTCAATTAACAGTTTTAGTGCAATGAATAAATAAATAAATAGACAGTTAAAGTTAAGTATCTTCGCTAGTCATAAAAACCCTACTGTCTGTGAGTTATAAAATAAATGTTAAACACCTGCTGTCATACTCCAGACATGCTGACTTAAACTTAATGCTCTTATGAGTGAGAGACACAAACAATGGAAACCATCTCCGCCTGAATCAACACATTTAGTTAGACAGTCTTTCTCTTTAGAAAAGGTGGCTGACTCTTCGTGTGAAACAGGCACTTTTATCATTAAATAAACCACTTTATTCCCCTTTTTCTTTTTCTTAAAATAGTGCGAAGCGCATGCATAAAAGGCTGACCTTACCTGGGAATTCAACTTCTTGATAAACCGGCGAACAGGAAAGCTCCCTCGAGGTGGCACGCAGCTATATCCCAGGTTAACGTAACACATACTTCATCTTTTGAACCATTTTATCCACATATAAATCACTTTATCATAGTTCACTGGTTACTACTGCGGAATGTTACGGTGGAAAAAAAAAGCTCCGAGTTTCCTCTGTTTCTCACGCAGAAGCACTTCAGCCAGTATCCTACTTCATTACACAAACTGAGGACGACACACTGACACACTCAGTAGAGTTTAAATCAGCTAAGCTAATGTAGCTCCATGAACAACAGGGATAACAACTAAACACAGCGCCAGCGTGCCATCTAGCGTTAGCATGCTAGTAAGGCGAGACTCACCTTTAAAAAAACTTTTATTCTACTTTATCTAAGAAAATTAAATATATTTTATCTTACATTCAATATTTTAATTATAATTTAATTATATTTTAATTATATTTATTATTTTATATAATTATAAAATAATAATTTATATATATATATATAAATAATTTATACAATTATATTTATTATTTTATATAATTTAATTTATTTATATTTTAATTATATTTAATTATATTTTAATTATAAATTATTGAGGTTGCAACGCGAAACATACTACTGGGCTAAATTCGCGAGCAAACTTAAACTTTTATCTTCGCTAAGGGATTAATTTGGGACGCTCTTGTTTCCATGACAACGCGTGAGCTGGGGCAGGGTAGGACAAAAAGGGACAAAACGAACCGATTCGCGGAAGTGGTTTAACAGTGTAACGTCACCAGCCAATACCCGTCTTTCAGTTTCAAACTTTCCGAGAGTTGACAAAAACACCTTAATGATTCATAATTTGAGCATGTTAAAGGACTTCTCGTACTTTTGCAGACTTTTGTAGAGACATTTTAAAGTATGTTTAAGAATCTGGGAAGCTGGCTTGGAATTGAAAATGGAGATGAACAAGGTAAGCAACATGGCGAGTGTGTTGTTGATGTTAAAGAAGACCAAAGTCACGACCTAAACAAACCGACTGCAGCTGCTAAAGAAGATGTTCAACCAGCTCAACTTCTGCAGACAGCTAAGGGCGTCAGTGGTAAGATTTAGTAAAGTAACACACTGTTAAAGTAGGAGTGTTTGTTGTTCACTTGTGTTTTCATACTTTTGGTTTTTCGCAGGTTACATTTATAATTTCGCCAGCAGTGCCTCCAAGAAACTGTCTGAGTCCGTGGTGGAAACAGCACAAACCTTCAAGAAAAGTGTGGAAGAGGGAAAGATGAACGGGATCATCGATAAGGTGTCAAACATCAAGTTTAGCATTATTGTTTTTTCCTCCTTCTTCTTTATACCCCATTTATTGACCTGTTTCCTTCTGGTAGACCATTTTAGGTGATTTCCAGAAAGAACAAAATAAATTTGTTCAGGAGAAAAAGGCAAAAAAATCTGGTAAGTAGACTTCAAAGTATAGCAGAGCTCCATGATGAGGGAGATTAATACAAAAAAAAGTATATCCTTGGAAATATTTATCTTTTGTTTTTGTAAGTCAGATTTTTATTTGTCAAAACAATTTGTTAGAGTATCGAACAAATCCCTTTTTTGGGGGGGGGGGGGTTACAGATTAGATTACACATTAGACAGAAACAACAACACTTTCACAGCATAACAGGTCACAGCACATCTCTCTCCCTCCCCAGCACGCCATATGCATTAAGACTATTTACAATAACCTAATGGACCTGACTATCAACAGATCTAAGCTCCCCCACATTTGGATTGATTTTGACAAAGACTCTTTCGGCTTGGCTAACATCAGTTTATATGAAGCTCTAATCCAGTCCTTGGAGTTGGTGTTCTTGAATTTATTTTCTAGTTCATCAGTATAATACTGGCTGCATGTAGAAAGCCTGCAGTCTCTAACTCAAATTGTCCCTTTGTGAGTCCAGCTCGGGGAATGGATTTATTTCTGGAATGGAGAAATCATTGGGCAATCTCACATGAGATGTAAAGAAAATTACAGAAGAAGCCTTTACATTTCCAGCACTTATTCATCTCAATTAGACCAAGACTTCTGAGTCTGACTGGAGTCCAGTAATATCTATGAATTATTTAATATTTGATCAATAAACTCTTACTACCTCCTATTGGCCAACCCAGTAGGAAATATTCATGTAGAAGTCTGAACATGTGTGACAAACAACAAAATGTTATCTGTTAGATTTGAATATTCTAATTATGAGATCAAAAAACAAAATTAAGAACATTTATCGCATGATAATGGCTTCTAAATTTATGTTACAGCGATCTCAAGATGAAATCAGAGGTCTTAGTTTGTTTTTTAGGTTTATGAATCAATTAATATTTTTTTATTTTGGTCATTCATTAAAAAATACCAACTGTTAAAAACAATTGTGTAAATAGTCCACTTACAGAAACAAAAACAAAAAACACTTTACATGCTAACACTCGTCCATTTCTCACAATGAAATTCAAACACTCAGTGACCAGAAAGAGGAATAGGCTGAAGCCCAAGGCTTATCTCTGCCTATCCTGATTTTATAGATTTAAAAATTAATGTGATCTAGGTGAAGTTCAGAAAGAGGCACACTGACTTCTGTTTTTATTTGTTTTGGATAAGTTCAGTTGACTTAATTACTTAATTACTAGTGTTGTTAATTTATGTTTTAGCATTGTTTTAGTCTAAATAAGGATCTCTTTAAGCTTGTTTTGGGCTGAGAATACTTTTATGTATAGCAACGTTAAAATAACCTTAAAGTAAGTACATGATATCACTGTACAGTAACTGCTGGCTCATTGTTTGTAGGTGCTGCTGTGCCTCCGTGGGTTGGTTATAATGAAGAAGAAACTATGCAGCAGCAGATTTTAGCCCTCTCAGCTGTGAGTATTGCTTATGAAACATTTCTGTTCTAGGGAAAAAGTCAAATTGGGCAACAGTACAATTTCTTTTTATTGCTTCATTTGTTGACAGGACAAAAGGAATTTTTTGCGAGATCCTCCTGCTGGAGTGCAATTTCACTTTGACTGTGAGCAAATGTATCCGGTCGCCATGGTGATGTTGGAGGAGGATGAGCTCCTTCGGAAGATGCGCTTCCATCTGGTCCCCAAACAGTGAGAGTGTTTTGACATTGGGATAATACTGTATCTGGTCCCTTTTCATCATGTGCATCACTGCACAGGAGTGGGTTTTATTACGAACAAAAACATTTTTTTTTATTCTATTCTGAGCTGACTGCATGTTCCATCGTGTCATTCATTTCAGGGTGAAAGAGGAGGCCTTCTGGAAGAATTACTTCTACCGTGTGTCCTTAATAAAACAGTCGGCTCAGCTCACAGCTCTCGCGGCACAGCAGGCTGCTGAGCAGAGAGGCGTGGAGAAAACTGGCACCAGTCCTGAGGAGGTTCAACAAAAGGGTATCATTACTTTGTAGTGCTCAAAATGAGAATGGACTCATTTGTATTCACTCCCTCGAAAGCAGAAACCATTATTCATGTTACAAATAGAGGGGACAGGCTTTGCAAATACTGAACTCAATTTTCCACCCAACGTACCTGTAACTTTTAGTCATGGAATTTACTTTACAATTAACTTAAGGTTCCTTCAGTCTGTTGTTTTATTTGTTTCCATCAGGGTCCAAAGTCTAGCAAAAGTTATTCTGCTGAAATCCAAAGCCACAGCTGTTGTCATGTCATCTTTGAGACAGTGACAATGGTACCATACCTGAAATAAAATACACCGACTTTACAATTAATAACAATCAGAAAAAGTCAGCAGGTTCCACTCGCTCAGTTAGTATGTGAAAGGACTTTTTTCATGGGTAAAATCAAGTCTTCAGAAGTCCAGATAGACCTTGGTCCTTCTGAAGGAAGTGCCTTGAGTTCCTCTCAAATATTTCCCTGGGGAAAGTTCAGACAGTGAAAACATTTTATAAAACCATGAAGTTATCTTCTTTTTATGCAGTCTTATTATCTTACCTTCAGTTGTTACATCATACCTTTTATTTGTGGCAAAATCTGCTCAATAGCAGTATTATGAATATTAACAGAAATATAAGGATTCATCTCAACTATTCATTTAATGAGAAAGTTTGACTTGTTTTTTATTAAAAAAAAAAAAAAATTCTGCAGATGTTGTTAAACAGAAAACTCATGCTGCCAACCGTAGAAACAAACCAAAGTCAAGTGAGGTAGGCACTTTTTTTTTTCTTCAAATAAAATACCAAATCATTTAAAAGAATGAATCCTTAATGAGTCTGAGTCTGACCTCTTTTTGTTTCTGTTGAAAAAAGGACGAGGAGGAGATCTCCACCAGCCCGCCTGTGTCTGAATTTGTGAGCGATGCTTTTGACTCATGCAGCATAAATGAGGACGACCTACGCAAAGAAATGGAACAGCTGGTTCTCGAGAAGAGGGAGCATCCAGACGCCCAGCAGGGTGAGTCTCATTGTTGAACTGGTGTATGATCTAATTCAAGAGTTTATCAGAAGTTTAACGTGTGACTCTGCTCGGGGTGCTTCAGAGGAGACTCCTGACTGGGAGCGAGAGCTGCAGGAGGAGCTGCAGGAGTACGACGTGCTGCCTGACAACGAGAACCACGATGACAACTGGGACAGAGAGATTGAAGAGATGTTAAAAGAGGAGAGTTAGAGCTCGGACACACGCTCCACCAGCTCTTAACTGTTTCAGAATCACCTTAAAGGTCAGACAGCACACATGACTGAAGCTTTAAAGCTCCCAGTGGATTCATTCATCTTGATAACTGGGACTCAGAGGGATAAGTAACACTGAACCTCATCAACATTTCAGTGTGCTATTTCTATGTCCTGAATGGTTCTTTGGTTTAATGCATAAATATTTAGCATTGTCTCCTTCAGTTAAGATAAAGGGAGGTGTTGTCCTGCGTACACCTCCTCAGAGAACACACAGTTTGCCTCAGATTCTGCCTCAGACTTTAAGGTGAGATGATAACTTTTGATAATCAATGTCGCTGTTGTCACAAGTGAGAAAATTAAGTTAAAGTACAACCAAGACTCAAAAAAGATTTAGGATGCTGGCTAAAACCTGAATACTTGTGTTGGTTAACTAATATGTTTTGATATATTTTAGTATTGCTCAAACATACACTCTAGTAAGTATACACTGGTATGGGGGCGCCTGATATTTGAGGATATGTAGAGCTCCCCATGAATAGGGGCTACAGTCCTCATCCTCGCGTGAACGTGGAATCTTACCTTGGCCACTCTCTCTTTCCAACAATTTTTGTCTCTCTTCAGATGTCCTGTCCAATAAAAGGCTAAATGTCCCCAAAAAACATTTAGTTTAATTAAGGTTTACACAGCATCTAAACTTTTTTTTATCAAGTTCTTGGTGAAAAATCACAGATCATGCAAACCAGCTCAGCTGCCTGTTACACAGCATCCAAAGGTTACTACCTTTAGCTACCTTTAAAGCCCAGAAGCTACAGAAATATCAGACCCAACTGTGAGTATAGAATTGAGTAAGGGTGCATAAAACATCCAGATAATGAAGGAACAAATACAGTCTAGAGACGTTTTCACGTGCACTCAGGAGGACTGCTCCTGAAATCTACCAGATCCGATTGTTCACACATGCACCTCACAGGGCCTCAGGGTCTCCTAAAGAAAGACATGAAGCAACAGAGTCCACTATGCAACACTGCAATGAGAATGTTTGCCTTTATGTCAATGCTATGTGTAGTTCAACTGAATCACAACATCAGAAGTAGAGCATACTGGAGAACAGACACCATAATGACACAGTCTATGGTCACGCCCCAATCACAGGGAATAAACGTCAGCATCCCAATCACCCGAGGTAAATTCTCCTGATTATATCCTGCTGATTATATCCTGCGGCTCACTCAGACTTTCTGTGGGAAAAATCCTCGGGGGGCTGGCAGAAGAAACTTTGGATGAAGTCCGAGTGAAAAAAAATGTGTCTGTTTGTCGTTCACACATACAGCTCACCCTGAAAACTTCAGGAGCTTTTTAGGAGTTTTGTACAAGTGTGAACAAGGCTTAACTTTTACAGTTGAAGTTTTTAATCCTAAACTGCAGAAATATCATTCAATAAAATCCATCAACATGTATATTTCTTCAAGATATTGCCACATAACCAGTAGAGCATATTATTAAACAACGTTTATCCTTTGACTGAGACAACATTGTTCATCAATAAAATGCTTGATGATGCTTTGATAGCCTATAAGATGTGATACTTTTTAGACTTACTTTACATTAACAGTGCCTTCCTGTGTTTAGAGTATGTTTATTCTTGGAACGTGGGAATTTTATCCAAATGATGAAAGTGAATGACTGACTATGAACGCACACAAGCCCACATCCTTTATACTGTAGATGCTGATATAATGTGTAGACATGTTTGTCCTGTTTGTACCAAGAAAATAGAGCCATAACCCATCGTATTTTATTATTATCTACTGTGATTTCAAACTTCAGTTATATTTTTAGTTGTTATAATGGCTGTTCTGTCTGATGCTCGTTGAAGTGTTTCTTTAAAGGTTATATGTGGTTTGTTTTCATTGAGACATAAAAACATTAAACGTGCCTTCATTAAAAAAATATGTTTTTCTTTTTATTCCTTGAGTTTAATGTTTGAGCTTCACTTTAGAGAATGTTGTACATGCCAAGTTTGAATCAGTCATTAACCGGGGAAATGGTTAGCTCTTTTTGAACCGACACCTTTGAGCACTTTCGAACAAATCTAAGACTAGAAGAATATTGTAACATCCATCTGCTGAAAGTGGAGCATTTGTCCGTCCCTTTTATACCAAATGTATTCAGGAGTGTGTCTACAAGCATGATCAACAAAGCACTCTGACAATGGATGTCAATCAGAAAATACATCATAATGTTAATATGAATAGAAATGTTAAATACTAAAACCCAGGGAATGAAAAAAACTGACAGGTAATCATTTACAAAAATAAATAACTATTTATTACAAAATCAAAGTAAAACATAAATCAACTCAAAACAAACATCTTTCAAAAACAACTAAAAGAGATCCTGAAAGTCACACTAAATTTAACAACAACAACAAAAATCACTATTGACAAAAAGAAACACTGTAACACCAGGTCCAACAACACCCTCCTGCCACTGAAGACGTAACCATGACAACACACCAAAACAAACACAGCATCACTAACACGGCATGTAAAGTGTTTTACGAGTAAACTGCCTTCTGTTTTTTTAACGGCAGAGTTTTTATTGGCGTGTGAAAACTCTGACAGTCTCACCAAAAGATTAAAAATGTACCTTAAAGCCTGTCAAAGCACATGTCATCATGACACTCTGCGTGCCTTTTTACTCTGTGAACCAGCCTACGATAAAAAAACATGATAAGGCTGGCTCGCAGCATCGCCTCTGATCTTGACCACGCTGTGAACACAGAATATAAACTATGACCATCAAACTGGAGATACAGGGTCCCACGTTTTAATAAGGTCAGACTTAAACACTCTTTAGTTCACCAGTCAAAACTGAAATTGAATGCAGAGCTGAATCTCAGATCAAATTAGGTTTAAGGCCTCTGAATATTTGTTAGCTGTTTGAATGTTAGATAGATAGATAGACTTTATTGTCTGTCCCAACAGAGACAGAAATTCTCCTTTGACAAGGCTCGAACAATAAACACAACTTACATTAAAAACCGAAACTGCAGGACATTAAAAGAGGACTTAAAACAACAGTTTCTAAAAAGCGGGGGTCTATTTGATTTCGTTCAGAATGGTTATTGCAGAGGGAATGAAGGATTTTTTGTCGATGTATTTCCAGGCACAATAACAATAAAGTCCTATCAAATCTATCAAATCAAAGTTCTGATGTAATGTCACAGATTGGAACAAGATCAGATCCAAAGAAATGATTCACGAATGATCTATGTAAAGCAGTTGATTGTTGAGGAGACATTTTTGGACGGGCACATTTAGAAACAAAGCCAAACTGTATAAAGACTGTAATGTACATTGATCTCACTTAACATATCTGAGTCATTGTGTAACAACACTGGGACACATTAACTCTCTCACTGCGCAGAATGAATCAGAGGAAACAGGCTTCTACTCTCTTTATTGCTGAACTTGACGGGGATACATGAAACCACAATGCATCCTCTAAATGTAAACACAAGTCCAGTTATGAATCCACAGCTTTCTGTCACGGTTTAACAAACTGTACTTTACACACACAGCAGGGAATGACAGCGGTCCTTCCTATTGGTCACATTTCTGAGACACAGAATATGATACAGATGAAATTACAGATGAAATTAAACAAGAAAATGCTTTTTATGAAGCTGTATAAAAGGGAGAGAATGACTGTGGTTGACAGAATAATCTGCAAATTGCAAAAGAAAAACGGGAGCAGAAAGAATACATTTTAAACCCTGCTTTGATTGAAGAACATCACCAGCTTTAAAAACAAATGTGTGTATACAACATGAAGGAAAATACATTTTAAAGTGTTTGTAGAGTCCTGTGTCCAAAGCATTGTGTGTGTCTTTTCCCTTTTACAAACAAGGTCAAACTTCTTTTAATCTTGAATAAATAAATAAATAAAAGGTCTCAACAGTCTGCTGTGTGAAACTATTGCTGTTTCAAATGGTCCCTTTAGCACTAACATGCTTTATAATCACAGTAGTTTATTTGTCCTAGTTTACAAGCTGTACTGTATGATAAATGTGTCTGTCAGGAACTGTGGGAACGTGGGATAGAAGGAGAACGGGTTTAATAAGATACGACTCAGCCAGAAACTCAAACAGAAGAGAATCAGTTTGAAATATTCAGGCTGATCAGATCATATCAGTTTATAACACAGAACAGACAAAAAGAGGGACATTTCTGTTATACTTCCATTGAAGTATCAGATGACTGCGTGGGATATGAAGGTATTATCTTATTAAGAAACTTGCCTGGATACTGATCAGATTTGTTAAGTCAGAGGAGCATTTTTTGTTATAAATATCTGTGGTGTTTCAGGATTCAGTGAAACGTTTCACACAAAGGAAAAGTCAAATAAGAGAAATAGAGAGTGTTTCACTTCATATATCAACCAGCCTGAGAGACCAGAACAATTGAAGAAGTCTGTTTTATTTGCTCTGACAGATGAGTCTCTCTTTCATTCTGTTTGCTTCTCCATCAGGTCATGCCAAACAACCTGATTTATTATGTTGAGGCAAAATGAATTAGACGTTGGAAGTAGCTCCCCAGCAGCCTATACCTCTAAGGCAAATGTTTCTTTGCTCTCATTGGTTGTAGGTTTCACAACTTTTTGGTGCCTCCCCACTGATGATGCAGCTTGGAAATGGTTTAGTAAACACACTTTGGACTGAGTTTAGTTATGAATCACTAGGTTAGGGGTGCTGTTCCTTTATTGTTTGGTTTGGATGAGTAAGTGTAGTTAGTCAGGTTTAATGTTCATTCCTTTACACTGATTAGAAAGTACGTTTTTGAAAACACTTATCTAGAGTCCTTCTGTTTTACTTTATCTTTGCACTCGTTGGTCCTTTCAGTCTGCCTCACTTTTTGTTATGCATCACAACTTCTTCTGCTTCTTTAGTAATAAATAACTTTAAACTCAACATCTGCTTTTTATGTTGCCTCCCTTTCCGGGTTGTAACAGAAATCAAAATTGTAAAACAAACTAAACTAAACTCTGGGCCTGATTCAGGTAAGGATTGTGTGGCTTTTGTGCCCACTAAACCTGTGCAAAAAGACACCGTCTACTTCACCAAACACATGCAAAGGGTTAAATGCTCCCTAACTGCACTGCAGAGCAAACAGCGTCTCTGTACGCCAGCACTGCAAATACTTTCTTGTGTTAATCAAGTGAATTCAATTTTGTAAAATGAAGCTGTATAGATACATTTTAGACGCTTGGGTTAAGGTGGTAAATGATGCAAACCAGCTTTTTCACAGAAAAATAAAATACAAAAATAAGCTGAGAGCATACTCACTATATGTCATGTATCTATTATTATCTTAAAACACGTCCCCTCAGACTGCAGTGACCATGAATGTGAAGTGGATATAAATCAAATGAAATACTTTGTTCTTGATAATATGGACACCATAACCACAAAGCAACACTTCATACATGTGACATGATTCTTTGGTTCAGCTAATGTAATACTTTTTGATTTCCATTTACAATATATCCTATTTTACAAGTCTAACTAATACATTTAAGAAAATCTAATATAAATATACTTCACAGAATAAAGTGGTCACGCTGAAACTGCAGTTCAGGGCAGCAAATTGGAGTTGACTAGAAATCAGCAAAAACACAAAAAAAAACTCTGATTGAGCTGAATTTCTAACAGTAAACATCATAATGCTGAAAATCAGAAGAAAAAATCTGAGCCTGAAACAGTGCTACATTATTGTTGTCTCTGTTAAAAAGAAGAAGCAGAAAACAGATTCATTGTGATTTTTGTGTTTGGGTGCCTAAAGGTGAATAGTATTTCTTTAGTCCAGCAGAGTATGGGGCAGATGGAGGGTTGTGTGACGGCTGGATGAGGACGAGGAGAACCTTGTTTATGTCAGTCCAATTTCCTCCAGCACGCTGCGTGGGGTCTCTGCTTCCTGTGGAGGGAGACATGAACCACAAGTCCTGTGAAGAGCACGCTGAGCTACACAACACACACACACACTGACACACAGCGTACAACACACACACACACACACACACACTGACACACAGCGTACAACACACACACACACACACACACACACACACACACACACACACACACACTGACACACAGCGCACAACACACACACACACACACACACACACACACTGACACACAGCGTACAACACACACACACACACACACACACACACTGACACACAGCGTACAACACACACACACACACACACACACACACACACACACACACACACACACAGACTGACACACAGCGTACAGCAGGTTTAACAACAGCAGAGATACTCAAATGAACACACACACAGGAACACTGTGAGGCAACGTTTCACATGGTGTAATGTCAGGGTGTAACTGTATCCGCTTTGTGAAAACAGTCAAACAATCATATGTTCTATTCTGAATCGTTTTTGGAAATTAAATGCTGTAATTTGTGACCAAAGTTTCCAACTATAGATCAATATATTTACGTCACACTACATGACAAAAAGGAATTTAAGAACAGTTGAATGTTGGCAATTTATGCCACAAGTTGTGTTTAAATGTGCAAAGCAACATTAGAGCTGTCAAAACAACGCGTTCATCTTGATTAACTGAAGGGAAGCAGCTTGATCAGATTCAAGTTAAAAGAGAATTTACTCTTGATAACACAACAAACAGAGTCAAATTAAAATGTGGAAACAGGGTTATGCAGTCAATCTACATATCTCATATTTAATCAATAAATGTGATTTATAGGGATTAATTCATACCAAAGCCTGTAATTAAAAAGATTAACAGCTCTAGTTTACATCCACATTTAGCCTTTTCACTGCAGGTGTATTGTTAGGGGGGATTCCTTTGTGTTCATAACTTCATCTAAATGTTGATTAGCGGAGTGGCAGAAACTAATGACTGACGAGGGAATTGAGTTATGCACCCCCCCCCCCATGTATCATCTAATGTTGCCCCAGATTGGTTTATATTGAATTTCAATGGAAGCTTGGGGCTTTTCATGAAGACACTTAAACACAAAGACAAAAATTAACATGACAAATCCTTTATGATGAGCTCATCCTTCAAACCCTTTTTTTTGGGGGGGGAATTATTTGTGAATGTATTTTTAACTTTGTTACACCTGCATTAATCAATAAATGTAATATTTATATGCACACATAAACAAAAAACAAAACTAGATGAAAGACAGATGACCATATTGAAAAACACCTTTCAAGGCAGACCATTTTTTTTGGGGGTCAAAGCAGGAAAAGCGAAGGTGTGAACAATGACATAAATAATGGCTCCATTCCATTTAGTGTGTCAGTAATCAGTCAGTGATTGAGCTTCACAATGTTACACTGAAATGGAATGCTGCCATCAGTGATTTGCTTGGCTGGCTAACACACCAGACTGATTTGAACACGTGGGAGACCACAGACATGAGGACAGGTTCATCTGATTTTTAACACTGTAATCCTCAGAACACTCAAACTAGACGATTCAGCCCCCGACCGCAAGAGCACACACCCGCCGTTAACTGTTTTACAGTGTCGATTCCAAGAATACAGAGAAGCTCATGTGATCAAACATGACTTCAGGATTTAAAATATGGAACACGATCGATGTCTTCAGCTGGCTGTCCTGGCGTCTGTTCTATTTTGAAGCGAAAAAAAAAGAGAAACATTTTTTGAGTGAAATCCTGCTGAGACAACATATCGGTAAGGCTTATACGTTTGGCTCTTTCCACTTGGCTCGGGGGACACAGCGGTCTATGTTCACCGCCATGTTTGTGAGCTGTCAAAGGACGCAACATCCAGTTGATGATTCTAGCTATTGCGGGTATTTGAAGCAGCTATACTGGAATCGTAAATAGGATCAATAAAATAATCGTGTTGACACAGCACACTTGAGGATTATTTGGACAAATTATCGGTTGCAAAGCCATTAATCAGGCCACGCCCCCCAAAATGTCAGGGGGGGGGGGCTAAAATCAGGCGTAAATTGGTCGTGTGTAGCCAGCTTCAATCACAATGCGTGCTGTCAATGATTGAATTGCCAACGACCAATGAATCTGTTTTCTCTTTTTTCTGTGTAGCAGCCGAGCTAACAAGTCACAAATCATACAACAACAAAGACACTATGAAGGATGCTGTGAGAAAGAGAAGCACTTACTTTGGCATCCTAAAACAAGGTTGAGCACAAAGTAAAGGAGAGGAGTCACATCAGAGCAGCAGACTGAAAAACCGACTTTATGTAAGAGGGAAGAAAAAAAAAAGAACAGCTCACTTCTGCACACTGACTTCTGAAGTGTCGTTTCATTTTCAGAGTAAAATGTTTTCAGCCCAAAACGTAAACTTTGAATTATTCACCAATTATAGACTTCTCACTCCAAGGGTGGATTTTGCTGGAATGACAAATCCCTCGTTTATTAGTATGTAGGCTAAACATCTTCATCTGCAAAAACAAAGGAGCTCAGCAGCATTCAGCAGAGAGGGCATCAAGTTAGTTTAATGGTTTTATCAGTAAGATAATGAAATGACTGAACAGACATCATAAAAACAGTTTGTATAAAGGAAAGACAACAGAGAGCTTATATGACAAAGAATCATAAAGAATTTATTATTTCAGTTATATACAATAATAAAATATCTGCAAAGTATCATGACAGTCTTTAGAAGGAAACAAAACATTAAAGTGCTGTAATTAAGTGGGTATTTAATGATTCATTAATAAGAATAACTTCTATTTAAAGGGTGTTTAAATGTTGATAGTTATGACAATTATCAGGAAGTAAAAAGCCGAAGAGCTTCAGTTAAATCAGTGCAAACACAAACATTTCTTTAACATTCTTTGCATTAAACTACTTACCTGGAGAGGTTATTTAAAACAGAGATAATCAGGGTCTTTAAATAATTTAAAAGTCTTTTAGTCTGTGCTGTGGTCTGAGCTAGGATTATTTTAATCATCATAACAACGACTTGAGAACTATAGAATATAAATACCTACGATTAAACACATGATATGAAGTGAAGCTGTACATGACATGAGACGGACTGCTACTACTCCCATAAATACACAAACCAAATGAAGAAGGGAAACACCAGACTGGTAATGCAGTTAACCTCCCTCATGGCTGATGATGTCACACACAAAAACACGACCATCAAGGAGCCATTAAGTGAAGACAATACTGGCTGGATGAACACGTTTAAGACAAAATAACGACTGACTGTGAAGGAGATTAACCTGGGATCTAACACAAGAAACACTAAGAATTCAGCTGATCAGAGTGTGTTATCAAGAGAGAGTGTTTACATGAATACTCGTGCCTTTCAGTCAGACACATTTGTGCACACACAGAGGATGAAGACTTTCTTCACCTGGTCTTAGAAGCATGGATAAACATAAATGGAAAAATGGATTAAAAAAAAAAAAATCAAACATCACTGTTGTCTTCAGATGCTAACCCTAGATTTGCAAACCTTTTCTCTTTCTCTTTCATCATGTTCAGTCCCTCTAGGGGTTTGCAGACTTCTGTGATCGTTTGAGCCTAAAATGCCAAACTTCAAGGATCTCTTTTTAAAGTTGAAATGTTTTCAGGTCTTTCTTCTGTGTAACATCTACTCTGAGAGATGTGATCAAACACTTTCATAATGGCCATCTGTTGGCTGAGCTGGATGTTTGTCTTCATCACTTCTGCTAAATTTCTCTCAAAAAAATCAAAAGATTTAATGAAACTAAAGTTGATCGCCATTAAAAAACTAATTTTGCCCTCAGTTGCCCGTTGTATCCTATGCAAACACTAATCTACGTGTCTTTGACGGCAGTAGAGTCACACTTTTCTTCATGTTATTTGGGTCTCTGTGTGATTTTGAATATCAAAGAGGTGAGTTTGTTGGCGTACATGTTGACGCCTGTGTCTGGAAAAGGTTGAGATCGGCCAAAGATGCAATATTGTGAAAATGGCCCAGGGATTGAGTTTGCATGAATTTGCTGAGCTGTGCCAAAACACAACAAAATGGACTGACTTTACCCATAACTATTTTTTTTCTTTTAACCTTCCTAAACTTAAAATTTGGGCACCAAACTAATTGTTCAGGCTGAGGGAAGATTTTAGTTTTGGCAACATTAGAAAGCCGCAGATCACTTTTGTGTCTCACATTGCTTGCACCATTAATGCAAATTTGTGATTTATAAATGAAGCTATGTAAATACATTTTAACAAACTTTGAGGTCAGAATGGCACACAAAGCAACCCTGACTTTGAAAGTAGAAATAAAAAAGGTGGAGAAATGGTGCAATGAAACAAACCATTAGAGGACAAATGACAGTCATTTTCTGGATATATCACCATAGACTATATCAATTATAGAATTCAGACAAAATGTGTGAAAAACTTGCACGGATCTCCTCGTACATTGTGCTATAAGAAATGTCTTATCCAATGTACATTTTACTTCTTAAACTTTATGCCATCATGACTGTCATGTATCTGGTTGAATTGTGAGCTCAGAATATTTTTGACATCCTCCGCACAATGACAGTGAGAGGTGTGGAGGGTGCAGACAGAAAGGTGTCAGGCACTGAGGAGCTCAGCATGCAGGGTGGAGAGCAGCAGCAGCAGGAGCAGTGATGGCAGCCAGTCAGTACACAGGCACATTAAAGTACTCATGACGGGGCTGAGGGAGAGAAACACACAGCTTAGAGAACAACACAACATCCAGTGACAGCAGCCGCCTCGTTCAGAGACTTTATTCACATGCAGGAAACAGTGCAGCAGGTTGGAGGGGGGTCACTGCAAACACACTACACTCAAACACAAACAAACATTTCTAGTAAAGAAACTCGACTTTTTAAAGGTTGGATACACTTAGGAAACAAACTCCATGGATGAAACTCTTGTGTGAGGAAATCCATCTACCCTGTTTTCAGCTGGCTGTCTCTTTGCTAAAGCTTCATATTAGTTTACAGAATAAGAGAGGCATTAATCAAATCATCTCATCCTGAACAGAGAATCAAATCAGCATAATAAAAAAAAAATTCTTCATTTGACTTGATTTTTTATTACCTTCCCTACTTACCTGATCTAAAGCACATTCAAGACTGCTTTCATGTCTGCGTTTGACATTCAGCAGTCATTTGATTACATTTGCTCAGATTGAACTCCGATTTTTCATGTCTTCATTAAATTGTGCCCTGAAGTCTAAGTAAAAAAAAAAAGAAAACCCTTCAAAAAAAAGTGTCTCCTGAACAGTTCAGATTTCTTCATAATTGAGATGGCTTAAACAATTTGTAAATGAAAACACTTGGGACATAAATTGTAACACTTTGAACAATATACAGCATCATTGTATTTATTTTTTAAAAGCACTAAGGATGTAATGAAACCAGAAATGTAAACTTTGATATGATACTAAGACAATCTAGCAATATTGATGCTTGTTTTGAAACTACAAGTCCAAGGCCCTTCAATTTTTAGAAACAATGTGCCAAAAGTTGAAGCAAAGGTTTGCACACTGTCTTCATTGAACAATGTTGTTTCAGCACCAAATGTTGTCAATGTATTTGTGTAATTAAAGGAGTGTCTCCTGTGCTGTCACCTCCTCTGCTCTTCTTCTGCTTGAAAGAGACAAACGCACATTTGACATCTTGATGAGACACAAACATCAGTGTTTGCCGACATGTGAATTTAAATAGACCTCAGCTGCTCGCTCTCTTTTGCTTAAAAGCTACAGTTTGATACTACTGGTCCTTATGATAACAGATACTGATTTCTTTTAAATCATTTGTTATCAAAACATATTTTGCCAAGCTTACAGGGCTCAGAGTCAAAGTATCTATCATACAACCTGCAGAAATGTAATCATATAAAACACATGGAGCATCGGGTAGAGATGACGGTGACAATGAAATGTTACACTAATAGACTAAGACACACAATCTCTTCAATACAAACACGTATGGTCAACAGTGGAGGGACTAACTAGAGACATGAGGGCAGGAACACGGTCTTTACCAGCAGGATCTGAGCTACACACAGACTGATGCAGACGACTGGGACACGTTATGACTACAGGGCTCTATCAGTGAATCCACAGACACAGAGAAATCACCTCAGCTGGTCTGGAAAAGACCAGAAGACTCAGAGACCATGTTTGGGACCATCACACCTGGGAGGCAAACATTGTAGAAGTGAGCAAATGGAACAAAGCAGCACTGTTTTCTCAGGGTGACTCTACAGTATCTACATGTCTACAGTACGAGCTGGGGGAGCCTCCATCACTGTAACAACACCCTCTTTATGAGGATGTCTGATCTGAGTTCACCTCGGAGGTCTTACAGAGCTGAGCTGAGCTGGGCAGGAGATCCTCTGAGACTTTGTTATTTTAAAAGACCATCTGCTCACTGGCAGCAAAGTAATGTCCGGCTCCTGAGAAATGTTTCATTAAAGGCTTATTAAAATGACTGCAGTCCAATCCCCTGTGGTATGTTTTCTGTGTAATTACTTCACTCTGTTGCTCTAATGCTTTAAAACCAGAGGCACTCTTCCAAATGTGTCCCTAAAAAGTCAACTCTGACAACAACAACTTTACCTCTAATCATTAAACTCCAAATATCTTCTGTATGCCTTTTCAAAAGTCTGACACATCTTGTCCATTTTCTACATTTCTTTTTGTCACTCTGGTGTTTTATTAGAGTAGATAAGAGTAGATTGGGTCTCTAGAGAACAGATACCTGATAGTCCATCTGTCTGATAATCAATGAGCAGCTACACAGCTACTATCATGGCTAATGTTGGCTTATTTCAGAACCAACATTATTTCAGGTGCATTTAAACCAGTGTTTCTCAACTGGTGGGTTGGGACCCAAAAGTGGATCGCAGCGCCATTTTCAGTGGGTAGCTAATGTGTACCTGGAAAACATATGTCAACACAAGTCTATGAGGCGCTTTTGGAACACGTTTGTTTTGTCTTGTTTCTTTGTTCTCTCATGTTTTGTTCAGTCTGAGGTCAAAACTGCAACAAATTTGATTGGTTGAAAAATATCAGAAAATTTGGATCAAGACTCTTCATGAAGGAGCTGGTGGTGGGTCCTGAGGTTAGACCAGCTGAGAACCACTGATTTAAACCACATTTAGATTTGTTCTACACTACATCTGTTGCTTTGAATCATCATTGGTTATTTTTCATATTGGTCTATCCTCACGGTTCACATGACTTTATCCATCAAATGTTAATGGATTGTCAGCAGGCCTCACTTTGCTTCCCAGCACTCATTAGCTGTGGTCTTATGCTCGATAAGTGATGAAATGTTGAGGAGTTCATACAACACTCCTGTGTGACTGTGTGTATCGAGGTGTTTGCCTCTTGTCAGAGTAAAACACATTAAAAATACATGCGTGTTCTTTTCATAGACTAAATCAATTCTAAACAGTGACTCGTTCAAATGGCTCCCCTTTAGTAAGACTCAATATTTCCATTAAATTAGAAATCTTTACTTCGACATATTTACGGTCTCAATAAAGAAAAGGGTACAAAAAAACGTTTGGAATTGCTCCAGTAGTTTAGTAGTTAGCCAGCAGTTACATAACAAGACACTGGCAATAACAAAGAGAATCTGTACAGAGATAGAGAGATCTTTTTTTTGTCTAGTTGAGAACCTGATTTTGAAATCACAAGCAGCAGTCACTCTCTTCAAAACTACCAGACTCCATCGACAAAAACAAGAACCTTAGCTCGCAGAACTCAGGAATTTTCTTGTTTCAGTAACCGAATTCTGGTTAAGTTCACTTGATGGTGTTATTGTCTACTGTTGGATTTAAGATAACTATTTAAAAAAAAAAAAGTTGTTAAAAATAACTCAAATAAACTCAGATTACGACGTTCAACTCCGGTGTCCTGCAAGACAATGTTCCTGTTTTAGCCAGTGGAGTGTGGTAGCTTTGAAAAGAGGGATGGAACGACTTTGTGGATAAAATAATATCATTTTCCTAACTTCGTTGCACACTGAAAATAACTTTACTGTATTTTATTGCTCACTCACAATAAAATACAGTAAAGTTATTTTCAGTGTGCCACTCTGTTGTGATTTATTTTTCATGGTATAACCGTGCGCACCTGAGATCATATAAGCTGCGAGTGTGCACAGGGTACCATGGCCATTTAGAATATTATTTTCCTCTTAAAAAGAAAATATTTGAATGTATGGATCATTTCCATGCTGTTGTCCTAGAGTAAAAAGCAGAGCCTGTCAGTGACAAAAAACAAGAACTTTGAATGGATCTACTCTGATCAGACCCCCATCAGCCCCCAAAGGTGTCATTAAAGACTGTACCGTGGCTGCTAACTGAAGAAGTCTACTGGAGCTAATCCAAAACTTTTAGTGTGTATTAGTCATTAAAATCACCATAAATGTCAAACAAACAGGATTATACAAGAACTACCCTTTAATTACTACAATAAAGATACCTGAAACATTTAAGCTCTTGGTTTAGTTTTATGATATGAGCAGTGACACTGTGTTTTGTTTTCCTTCTGTAAACTACTGTAATCAAGCACCACGCATATGAAATGCTAATGTGTGTGTGTGTGTGTGTGTGTGTGTGTGTGTGTGGGTGTGTGGTCCGAGCAGTGCACACAATGAGGCTTTGTATCTGAGCTGTAACCTGAGCTCCTCTCACTTCAACCATTAAACTAGTCAGTGTTACAGTTCAGTGAAACTTGTAACAAAATATCTGCTCTTTATTCAATTTTTCAGCAGATGTTAATTAAATACAAGGATGTTTTAATAATGTAGACTACAGAGAGTACCTCTAGTCTCAACCATCATGTAGAGGAACTGCTGATGAAGACTTATTGGATCAGAGGGTTAATATAAAGCAGGAAAACAAACCAGTAACTAAATATCTCCTGTGTTGTCCTTCTGACTCTGAAAATATTGCTGTTAATGGTTTGTTGTTTCAGCTGACTCTTCAGGGTTATTTGGGAATCTATTAGTCATCTACCGATCTAACACTACAGCAAGGGTTAAGTTTGACTTCAACAAACGATACCTGAGAACAGGCGCATCTGAAAGTCTATATTCTGCAAATCACAATGGTGAAGAATAGACAGGAAAAGAGAGAGACATATCAGCAGAGATCAAGATTCAAACAAATCAAAAGAAAGACAATAAAGCAGTGAGCAGCCAGTGGAAGGAACAATCACAAGAAATGAAAATACACACATTTGTGGGGAAAAAGGTTGCAAAAATCTCTAGAATAATCACATCATACAAATCAATAGGACAGAAGTAAAGGAGGAATCAGAAGCTGTACCAAGAGTCCATCTTTCTTGTGCTGAATGAAACTGACCTAACACACGTTGATGAAGCATCTTTTTAAGTGTTTCTAGCTTTTCTAACTGATTATTCTACTGTATTATGTTTCAAATGTGTGTCAGATATGAGTTAGTTAGTGCCCACACAAACCCAACAATTTGAGCTGGGACTATGACTATTTTTATAGTCAATGAAACATTTGTATTTTTATCAATCAACAGATTAGTTGATGGTCTGTAAAATGTTTGAAGTCTCTCAGATGTCTTTCACTGTTTTAAACCCAAAGATTACTGACATCGAGTTGGAAAGAAACTTAAAAAATATTCACATTGAATAAATAATAATTGGACTTGTTTACTCAGACTAACTCAAGGATTATCTAAATTATTTAAAATTAATTTAACAGCTGATAACTAACAGATTTATTTTTGCAACTCTCAGTTTCAGAGTGCTGATACTTCACATTCAAGGCATGTCTGTCAGATTATTGAGACCGCTGACTGAGGTGGAAACCGGATTTGTGGATAAAAAACTAAATGCCACAAAGTGTAGTGTGAGCACAAAATGTAAACATTAAACCCCTCTTTCTGTTACCAGGAGTGAGCACAGACATTACCAGATTCATCGGGGCTGAATTCTTAAGGATTAGAACGTCAAGGGAGTAAGCAGTACTATTGTAAAAAAAATAAAAAATACACGAGAGAACGCACAGAATGGGTTTTGTAGCAGCTCAACCTGCAAAATCAGAAAAATAGAAAGTGTTTATTTCTCAAAGCATCTGCTATGAGAAGAAAAGTATCTGTAACTGCCCTGCAGAGCAAATAATCTCTCTGTACTCCTGTGCCATATGCACTTTAATATATGAGCAACTAATGCAACATATGGTGTTACACTGACTCCTTTCTATGCAAATAAGCCCGACTGCAAGAAGTCTCATTCACAAACACCATGGCAAGATTATCTTCAGGGAGTTGCTGGTAACTGAAGCACATGTGTAAGAGGTGTCTCACTCAGACTTGATTGCAGCTGTGATTGAAGCCAGACGAAGGCTTTGTCGGTCAAGGTGTTCTCACTTTTTGATTTAACTACTGTTGACCATTCTAGTGTTGTCTTGGCGTAAACTCATCATTACACTTTGCTTCATGGATTATGTAATCAAACATGTAAAAAAGGCAAATTACACTGGCTGAGCATGTTTTTACTGTAATATCAGTAGTGAAAAATCTTAGGTGAATTAGAACTTGACGGGGTAGATAACGTATGCAAGTCATGGTGCTGTCCTCTCTTTGTGAATTCATCCCTCAGACTCTGATCCACTGCTCTCTCTCTCTCTCTTTCAAACTGGCTTTGATCTGAATTTCACAAATGTCGACAGTGTTGCAGTGGAGAGTGGGGGCAGATTACTAATGATGCCGGAGCAGGAGAGAGGAACTCATTAGTATGACACTGCCTTTGTTCCCACATCGATATCATTTAAAAGCCTTACCTCCTGCAGTAAGTCGGCCTGCTCGATGGCCTTTAATACGTTCTTTTTGGACGTTTCCTGAGCCTCGCCGCCCAACAAGAACTCATCCAGGATGAAATAAGCCTTCTCAAAGTTGAAAATGATGTCCAGCTCACACACCTGTTGTCCAGAAATCAAAAGAGCACAACATTAACCGATGGCACAGATACACCACACAGAAGAATAAGAAATGATCAGACAGCAGAAACTCACACTGCCAAAGTATTTGTCCAGCAGCTCCACATATCTGTGGATGATCTCCAGCGTGATGAGCTCGTTGTCCTGGTCCTCTATGGCACAGCAGAAGTACAGACTGGCATATCTGCAACATGTGACAAACGACTTCAACCTGACATCAGCATTTAAAGGTCACATATTAAACCTGTTTTCAACAAGTTTAAATACGTCTCAGTGGTCCGCATTACATGTCTGTGAAGTTTCTTGTTCTAAATCCACTCTGATCCTGTATTTGATCATGTCTCTAAACCCCTCTATTTCAGCTCTGCTCAGAACAGGCTGTTTCTGTGTCTGTACCTTTAAATGTAAATGAGCTGTGTCTGACCACGCCCCTTTCTGGAATAGGATGTCGTTCAGGCATTCTTCCAACATGCCCGATTGTTTACAGTGAAAAGGCAGACTCAGAGGGCAGAACAAACAACCTGGGGGAGGGGTTACTGCCCTTTGTGATGTCATGAAGGGAAAATCTCCAAACGGCCTGTTTGAGCACACATTTTCTGAAACGTTGAGCAGGCAAAAGAGGGAGAGGACGGACTTCTCTCATAACTGGGGGGTTTGTAGACAGAATAAGGACACATATTAGTGTTAGAAAACCATGGTAAAGTGTATTTTTCATAATACAGTATGTGACCTTTACCAAAGACAAAGTGGCACAACAAATTCAGCTTGAAAAAGTAAACAGAAGAAGAGCTGACTTTTTGCACTGTTATCAATTAGACAGGATCTCAAAGTGATTTATTGTGTCTCGGAGCTTACTGCAGGAGTGCTGACACGGCGCTTCTGTTATAATTAAAGATGGCTGTTTACAGTGCACAGGGTATTCATTTAAAAGCCAGCAGCAGGATGCAGGAGGCTGTGCGAGCTAAGCCTCATTCTGCCATGCGTCTTTATCCCTGGTAATCCCTGAGGCATTCTATAAGCATGTGATGATTGGCTAATAAAGGAGCGGGTCAGTTGATCCTTCACAACCAGCAGGGCAGGAGGGCAACATGGAAACGGCTGATGATTCTGTAGAAACAAACTCGACATGGAACTCTGCAACTTATCAACTCTGGTTATTTAGTTCACTTTTTATTCTCAGCTGTTTCACGGTTCTCTACATCCTCATTTGCTGAGTGGATGCAAGGCACGGCCAAGCTCCGGAAACACAAAGACCTCAGCTCACTTGTGTAGCCGTTTGTGGTACAGAGAAGTGAGACAGCACTTTTACTGTCGCTGACTCATATGGAGAGCCAGCAGGCAGTGAAATCTATGAAGAGCCGGTTTCTATCATAATTGGCCTCTCAATGGGGCATTTTTAAACCTGTTGATAAAAATAACAACCAGTGCACATTGAGGGGAACTGCTCGGCATAAACCTGAGTTCATCAGGATATTTAGAGAGATGCAACATTTAGTCAATAAATTGTTTGGACAACTGACTGGAAATTTAGCAGCGATGAATGAGTTTAGTTATCATTTAAGTTAATATTCCTTGTTTCTCTACTTCTCCAACCTCTCAAATGTGAAGACTTGGTGCTTGGCTTTGTTAATGTCAGTGTTGAATGAAAACATTGTCCCTCCGGACGACACCTTTTCATTTTGTCCCATTGCATGTCAAAATATAATCATTTAAAAAGAAAAGTTCAAAATGTCTGTGGCCCCTTCTGTGTCCTCTGAACTGTAATGTCTCAACAATACTGGATTAAAACCGACTCTGACCTCTTCACCTTCAGACAAAATACAAAGAAATAACATCAACACTTTTGAATTTTATTAAGAATCTTTGGAGAACGAGTTGTATAGTGTCACCATTGTTGCATGACAAGATTTTGATGTGGTAGCTTTGGTTACAGATAAAATGACTCTGAATTGGACGTAATAAGACTCTATTAAGATTTTGGAGCCAAAACAAAACTCAGGTATATGAAAGTATAGAAGTGGAAATAAGTAATTACTTTAAACCATATGAATTTTAGTTGTAAACAAATGTGTGTTGTTGTGAAATGGTGCAAAGTCACAGTCTGGTGCGTGCTGTGTTTGTCTGGCCTTGTTGGGTCACTTGGGTTCATAAATAGTCTGCCAACCTGTCTGTTGGCACAGCAACAGGATATAATGAGGCAAAATTAATAGCCTCTTGTTGGCGTCTGCGTGCAGCCATGATGCTCTCGTCTCTTTGAAAACAGTTTGACAGGATGACAGGGATGACAGGTCTATGAATTGCCCGTGGAAGTGTGAAAAACTCTATTCTGTGAGCGCTGAACCACAACACACTCTCCCATAAACACAACCCACTTCTCAACAGTCCACGTCCTCTACCCACCTCTTATATACAATCTTCAGGTCTCTCCACTCCAGGAAGCTGCACATTTTGGGTTTTCGAGCTAGGACCGTCTGCACCAACTCTCTAGTGATCTTCTTTTTCTCCTTATCAGACAATGGCACGTACCATTTCTGAAGCCGCAGCTTTCCTTGCCGACTGAATAAGAGCATGAACTGCATCTGAAACACAGAGATGAGAGGGGGAGCTGTGAAACACAATGAGAGATGATGATGGAAAGGAGGAGTGGGTGGTTTTGAGACATCTGCAGAAAGACAACAAACGCATTTACAACAACACATGTAGTCACTTTTTAAATGAGAAACTCGGATGTAGATATCAATTAATGTGATTGAGTCCAATAGTGGAAGTTTTTGTTTCATATTATATGGGAGGTGTTCAGAAAATTAACAACACGCAGGACTAATCATGCTTATCAAATAATGAGATGAATTCAAAACTAGCCCACAGGATGGTTTTATTATTTAGATTTATTGAGATATTTGTGTCTGCCATGTATGTTCAGTTTACCAAAGAAGATATAAACCATCATTCTATTAATTTACATTTTCTATTTATTTATTTAATCAACAATTTCAAAGCCACATCTCAAAGTTTACAGCACAAACATCAGTGAAACCTTCCCCTCTTCTCCGTTATCAACACCGCGGACGGAAGTAACGTTACCGGTCATCTCAAACCGTTATTCCGCCGTTAGCCTGTTTTATAAACACGACATGCGACCAGGCTTTGAGTCCATTTTAAAAGAAAAGCTGGAATAAAACACACTTGAAACCACTTACCTTGATGAAAACACTGAATTCTCCTCTGAAGAAATGAGCCTCCAACGCCTCCCTGAGACATACGCGGCCGCTTTGCATCGACTTTGTGATTGGTCAATGAAGCGCTCAGATCGATGTTCATTGGTCGACACTTTGTTACAGTCTCCGCCTTTTCGAGGCTTTAACTCAATGTCGGGCATCTGATTGGCTGATGCATGCGTCCATCAAAAAAACAGCCCTAGATAATCCCTCCCATTATGACGCCAAAATCAGGTGCACTGGCTGAATGTTTAAAAAGAGGCGGAATTACCAGAAGCCATAACATGTAAGTTTATTACAGGAACAGGTGTCAAGTGTGATATTAAAATAAAAATAAAAAATGTGTTATTAATTCGGCTCTATAATATTTTATAAATTAACAGGCTGACATGTTTAGAAAGTGAGAAACGAACAGTCAAAAATAAATATTTTGAGAATTTGTGCAATACACTCATTCTCTCTTTCCAGATAAGAGGATTTATATCATTCCCATGTCTTAATGGTTAACATAAAACTACAGCTGGGATCTTTTTTTGGAAGCAAAGGAAATAGCTATAGCATGTTTTTTTTTTTTTTTTTACCAAAGTCTTCACCAGTGCCTCTCATACACTAAATCACATATTATAGGTCCTTTATTCTTAACTATGAGAGTGTAAAAACTATAAAGCAGATTTGTTTCTTTTAGCTTTTAGGGAAAAGCAACAAATTATTATTAGTGAGTTTGGTTGGGAATATTAATGGAAAGATGACTTGAAACCAAAAATAAAGAGCTAAAATAAATAATTTTAGATGTATGGACCATTTGCAATGGATGTCTTAGCCATCTGATTTTTTGTATTATTATTATTGTTATTTGATTTTTAACCAGAGGAATCAACATCTTCTGGCCATAAAAAAGAATGAAGGTGTAAGGCACCTCTTAATTTTCTTCTCTTTTGAAAGCAAGATGTTACATCCACTTCTTCTGTAGTCTATAGTTTTTGCACAGATCAAGTCATGCCTATAAGCCCACCATTACAAACTCTATTTTCTATGTTAGGGATTTATTCTTCAGTGGATTTTGAAACCTTTGAGCAAAGAGAAGCTGCTTGGCTATGCTACATGATGCTAACCCAGCTAAGCCGTTTTTTGCTGCAGCTACATATTTAGGGTAGCAATACCAATCAAGCAATCAATCCATCAATCAATTCGGCTTTATTTGTGAAGCACTTTTCATACAGCAGTAGTGTGACAAAGAGTTTTACATAAACAGTAAATCTAAACAATATGACCTTGTGCATGGATTGGATGGAGGTTGGTAGGGAGTCAGGGGTCATGAGATTTAAGATTTTTAAGATTTTACTTTTATTGATCCCTGCAAGGGGAAATTTCAGTTTTTACACTTTGTAAGTCATGAACACACACATAGGCTGAAATATACACACACATGCAGAAACAGGATCCTATGGACATGCACTAATGGAGAGAAGCCAGAGTGATGGAGCGGCCCACAGTGGGCGCTCCTGAGCTGGTGGTGGGGAGGGGGTTTGGTACCTTGCTCAAGGGCACCTTGGCAGTGCTCAGGAGGTGATCTGGCACCTCTTCAGCTACCAGGCCAACTTCCATATTTGGTCCACACCGGGACTTGTACCAGGGAGCCTCTGGTTCCCAACCCAAGTCCCTACAGACTGAGCTACTGCGAATGCAGTCACAATCTTCTCTCTCTTTGCATAAAGAAAATATGCTGATATACAAGAAAAGTGCAAGTAAATTAATAACCTGTTGCACAGAATTGCTCGATGCCGTTTAATTTTGTAAATTCTGTAATTATTTATTTTAAAATCTAAAACTTGGGATCATCAGCCACTGCTGGGAAGAATGATGCTCACTTTTGATTTTTGATATGGTGGCGTTCCTGCAGGTGAAGTTCAAAAGTCAAGCCAGAGAGAGGTGACTTAGGGCCCTTAAAAAGTATTATTAGATAAGGCAATCACAGGCCTGTGGATTACAGTAATCCTATCTGCTAGCGTTGGGTATCACACACACATCACATTCCAGCACAGCAGAGGAGGAAGATGGAGGTCACTGCTAGATGTGCTGCTGTGCTCTTCCTCCTGCTTCTCTCCCAGGGTAAGTCACCTGTGCACCTGCGTCAGGGATATTATTCTATGATAATGCATTTTGACCTTATCCTCGCTGCTTCTGACGGTTTGATTGTTCTTTGAATCAATGCAACTTGCAGTAACATGCAGAACATGTACTGCAGCTAACCTGGAGTTTTTGACATGTTGAATTATAAAGTTGTTGATAATAAATGAGAACCTTTCATTGCAAGTGGCTTTAAAAAAAATTGTGTTGTTGTTGTTTTTAACCTAAATGTACATTTCAGACACATGCATACAAACCTCACAGTTGTGTTAATCAAATGCAAAATAATTGTCATAGTGTTTCTATATGTTTATGATCCTAATTTTCTTCTTCAGCTTTTACTTTTGATTTTAAACACTTGCTCTTACATTTCATGCATCCGTTGATGTTCCACAGCTCTGATAACTGTTAACTCCCAGGAGGTAAGATCATCTAAAAACTAGTTTGAAATGTGGTTTTAACTCACTCTAGGCGCAAAACTCTGCATTAACTCCTCCCCGTATGTCCCTCAGGAGGGGGAGGATGTCCAGGAGCAGGAACTGCAGGAGGAGGACCAGGAGGTCATCGAGACATGGACCAGCAACATGAAAGCGTGCACCTGTGACTGCGAGTCTCCAGAGTCACCGACAAGTGTCCCACCTGTGCTGCAGACCTCACTCCCGCCACCCACACCCACACCCACACCTCAGGGTTTCACACTGGACTGCATGCCAGGTGAGGACTTCCCCCGGGTTCACATGATTCTGTAGATTTCTTTTACTTATCTGCAGAAAAAAAGGATGCAAACAAGGTCAAAGACACAGCAGGAAACATCAGGTGTAGATTATTGATGGCCTGGATCGTATCCTGTGGTTGTTTAGAGAGAGCTCAAGCTGGTTTGATGGATCACACACCTCATGGTACCTGACTGTGTCCTCAGCCGTGCTGCACAATCACCTTTATTATACCCTTTTTTTTTTACCTCTGTTTTAGTAGTTTGAGTTGAAATGTCTTGGAATTGTAGGAAGATAAAGAGAACTAGAAAGCTAAATGCCATTCAATAATCTCATTACCTGCGCAGGAATGTGATGAGCAGATTATGGAGCCCAAAATAGAGGCATGCCCTTCACTTCACAGCTTGATACAGGGCAAAGCAGCGCACATCAGATGATCATCGTCTTCTGCCGTGTCAGGGAAGACTTCTGAGAATCAGACCTCACTGTGAGCAGGATCACGGCAGACGGGACGGTTTAATGGAGGATAGGATTGTGATGCCAGTCAGATGTTACATGCACACACTTCTTAGAAGAAGGTTTTCCTAAAGTACTTGCTGCAGCACCATTTTTTTTTTATTACGTACTGAAAAGAAAGAAGCAGTGGATTGGAGGAGTTTTCATGGTTAGTAAACCAAAGCAGCCTACCTGGTACCTTATAAAGAGACAGAAAATGTGAAGCCCAGACCAAATCTAGTCTGAACCGGTTCTTTTCGTGTGTTTTAATGGTTACATATTTGTAGTTGAAGAACTTTTAGCACCACATAAAGTAAATCTCTGCTCTCTGCAGAATGCCCGTACCACAGAGCCCTCGGCTTTGAATCTGGATCAGTGACGTCAGACCAGATCAGCTGCTCCAATCAGGACCAACACACAGGCTGGTACTCGTCCTGGACCCCTGACAGGGCTCGCCTCAACAACCAGGGCTTCGGGTACGTAATAAAAACCTGGGACTAAAGGCCCAAGGTTAAATTTCACTGCTAAGAACTTTAAGTATTCATCATTATTCATGTTCTCTGTACTTATTTTTCTCTGCTAAAAATTGTGAGAACAGGTTGCCTTAACTGGCAGGTGGATTCAGGGGGCGGGTCCAGGTAGTAATAGGTTGGACAGTGTAATTGACCACCAGGGCAAGTTTCAGAGATCATAAAGATGGCTAAGTACACAAATTTGTCAAAATTATACAGAATTAAGCAGAGATCCATCTGGGATGTTGTGGGTGTGTCCGTTGAATGCACCAAAAACCACACCCACTCACAGGAAAGGCTCAACACAACTACATCAAAACTGCAGACTGTAATTTTGAAACTTGAAGTAACTGCAAAAGAGCGGGAGAACTGAAGATGCTGTAGGGCTCAGTGATTTTATACCATTATAGCGCTGGGGGGGGGGGGGGGGGGGGATTATTCTAAGGACCCTAACTGTGTCACCAAGCCCTCCATTTGGCTCCGCCCCCCAAAAATGTAATCTTAAAGTGATAGAAAACGTTCTTTATTGACTAAATCCATAATTCAGTCAATGATCCTCAGTCTTTTCATGTTTAAAGCAACTTTTTATCCAATATTTACACGTGTCTAGAGATCTGATTTAGCTTTAAACAGACTTTCATGTTTGTAGTTACAGTGGATATGATGCGTGGATACAGGTACTTTCAATTATTGCTATTTTGGATGTGGGTGAGCACACAGATAGTTCATGAAACCTCTGCATGAGTCAATGCTGCAGTTAGGCCTCTTCGGTCCATAAGCTCTGATGTCTTGTAAGCCTGCTTTGGGCTGCACATATTGTTTATGCATGATACAAATCAAAATCATATATATCACATGTTCATGACTATTAGGTGTGCATGGCTGTCCAAGTATAACGACCAGTACCAATGGATCCAGATCGACCTGCAGGAGGTGGGCGTGGTGTCGGGGATCCTCACTCAGGGCCGCTGCGATGCTGACGAGTGGCTCACTAAATACAGCGTCCAGTATCGCTCTGTGGAAACACTCAACTGGATCTATTACAAAGACCAGACAGGGAACAACAGGGTGAGGACTCAAAACTGTAAGCAGTTCATTTCAACGTTTTTAGGATTCTAACAACTTTTTTTAACGTTTAACATTATGGCCTGTAGTTCAAAAAGACCTTATATGTGAATATGAGGAGTTTTGCAGCACATTATGTACAGTTTGAAGTTAGAAAACAGCTTTGAGGGGGATTTCTTTGTACTTCCTGTAATCTGTGTTTTACAAACATTGTAGCGGCTCACAAAAGCATTATTGGTCGATGCCATTTAATAAAGTTAAAACAGAAATGAAGAGCCTCACAACACCCAGGAAGAGGAATGTCAAGGTGATTCATAGGGGATACAGTTTTTTTTTCAAATATAACGTAATGTAAATATTATTCATGTTGAAAGAATTGAGCTTTGATTCAGTTAGGAAAACTTTTTTTTTCAAAACAGATTCTATTATTAAAGTTTTGCAGATGAAGCAGAAATGTTAGCTCAAAAACGAGCTTTAAACACACAAATTTAATGAAAAGTTTTAACGCTGAATTTATTGATCTTGTAAAGGCATAAATGTTGGGAATGTTATACGCTGGTAACAAGAACCAGCAGATGTTGTGTTTCCAGCTTCTTGTATGGGAGGATTATCTGCCTTATTAAATGTAAAATGATACACACATACATATTCAATATGCTATGAAGTCTTTGTTTTCAATCTTATTTGAACAAAAAAAAAAACTGTGGATACTATAGCTGTGAGTTCGCCTCAATAGGGATTTCTTTTAAATTTTATTTGAACTTCTTTTTGACCTTTTTTACAAACACTTAAATATCTGTGTAGTGAAGAATGAGCACATGAATGATGACCAAATGTAAAAAGCAAGGCCACAGAACAAGACATCTTCAGATGTGATTAAGGGACATGATTTGGGTTTCAAGTCAAACTTCTTCTTTTTTTACAATATTGTTAAGTATGGGAAAATGTGTTTTGCTGCCTTCAAGTCAAGAGCAGAAATGAACCATCTGTTTAACTGAGGAGATTATTTCATTTGATAACATAAAAAAAGGTAAATAAACCAGATGCAAAGCCTTTTTGCGTTTACTCAACTAAAAGGCTTTGACACACAATATGTTGAGTCAATTTAGTTTCAGAAGTTTAACAACAGTATCTATAGATACCTTCTTAGATACCACTAAGGTCTACTAACATACTGAAGTTGGAAAAACGTACATTTCAAATTTTGATAAGATGATATCTGTGTGTCCTCATAGATTGAAAACATACATCAACTTACTTTTTAAAAGTTTTCTGAACTCTTCTTTTTCTACAGTGCATAAACAACCAATAAGAAGTTAAAAGACAGAAAATTGGGCACTGGTTGCATAGTGGTTAGAGTGTGACCCCCATAAACAGAGGCTGCAGTCCTCTTAGCGAGTGGCCCAATTTCTAAGCCAACCTGAGCGCTTTTCCAGCATGTCATTTCCCCACGCTCTCGCCCTTATGTCTGACTCTATCCCAAAAAAAAGACATATACAAAATAAAGTTATGTGGTGTTTCTTTGCATGCAGTTTACTGAATCTCTGTTCCTCAGGTCTTCTATGGGAACTCTGACCGCTCCACCTCGGTCCAGAACATCCTGCGTCCTCCCATCATAGCTCGATACATCCGCCTGCTGCCGCTGGGCTGGCACACCCGCATCGCCATGAGGATGGAGCTGCTGATGTGCATGAACAAGTGCAGCTGAAGACGAAAAAACCGCCTGCTTTTCCCCACAACATCCATCATTCCCTGTCAGCCTGCACTTCAAAAAAAAAAAACGAGGACAACGATGCAGCAGTTATGACACTTTACGACCAAAACATGTCGACTTAGTCCGAGCAGCTGGATATAAATCAAGCATCTATCCGTCTTACTAATGTGGACACCATGCATACATACAGGAGGGTTTCCAGATTAAAATGTAGATTTAAAGACTTCATTACTCCTGTTATTACTTAAACTTTCTGTGAATCAGAGCAAACATTAAGAAAAAGATTCTGCAGGTTACAAGACTCAAATCAATGTTGTTTTATTTGAGATTTACTGTTACATATGTAAACATGAATATTCTAAAATGGTTAAGCATTCGTTGGTGTATTTATGTTCTCATGTAAATGCTTTGTTGAAAAAAAAGAAAAGAAAAGCAGATAAACACTGACTATGCTACCAATTTGTGTAATTAAAGCACAAAATTAATACTTGATTTCATTTAAACAGTTGATAAACATCCTCTGTTATAAATATTACCAAACAAGTAGTCACACATCAGTATTAATATAATACACGGTGCTCCTTCAGCCAAACAAAAAATCCAAAGAGAGAGAGAGAGATGTATTGTGTCGGGTACAGAGTGTGCACAGTCCTTACAGATTGCACATTACACAATACGACACTGTAACCATGGTCTCAGTGTGTGACTGCGTTCGCTTCAGTCCTCGCACACCGCAAACATGATGAACGTGACGGGAGGGAAGAATTTACAGAGTCAGAGCGAGATTGCCGAGCCGCACAATCTCTTCAAAGTGTAACATTACCAAGCTTAGGATCTGTTGTCGGCTAAGCTACTTTCATGGCACTTTAACCCAAACAGAAAACAATATTACGGCACAAAACTTCACCCCCCCCCCACTGTGCTGCGGTGTTAAGATTTCTCACAAGCTAAACTCCCAAATGGTTCAGGGAGTGCAATCAGTTAAAGATACACAAGTGCAGTGATTCCCAACAAGCGCGGGGATACTTCTGCTGTTACAACAGACTTCACTGGAAAGAGTTTAGAGTCTGAACTTATTTAAATCCACAGAGATAATCAACTGATTAAACTAGAGTTCAGCTGTAGCCTCACACCTGAACATTTATTTAATATTTGTAAATGAGGACACGACCTGCACGATACGAGACAAATGATAACATTGTTCCATGTTGTGGTTACAATATGAAGTGAGATAAATACATTAAAACTTTAAATAAAAGCCCATCCCAATTTAATCCCCCAGTCCCTTTTACTAGGCTGGTGCTGCTGCACGTTTGACAAATCCAGGCAGGTCTCCATTAGAGGCCCCGATGTGTTCAGTGTTGGTTAGTTTGAGGATTAAATTATATGAGTCTCCCTCTCTCCTAGACAGCGCAGCAGCTTGTTATGGAAGAGCTGTCTTACAAAGTGAAACCAAATCAGTGATTTTTAACTACATTTATTCATCGACATCCTTCATTTTTGTACACTTTTAAATATTCTTTCTAGTGTACATTTATAATCTCATGGTCTTTCCCATCTTTGTTGTGCACGAGTTAAAGCCTGTCTTGTATTGACGCCTGTCCCAAATAAAGGCAGGGTCATTTTCATTTTTGATCCACTATAAGGTAAATAAAAGCCCGGGCTATAAATAGAAATGTTATGGTAAATATGAAAGATTTACATTAGCTATCACTCACAGTTTCCATGTGTATCCCAAATGTTTTAGAAAGACCTTTTTGCAAGATGTTTCTCTTGAATCCAAAATTTAAAATTTAAAAAAAATTGGCACCACTTAATGGTGCCAATTTTGTGCCAATTTTTGTGCTAGCTGATAGCTAGCTTAAATGTTGGGAACCACGGCACATTAACACCTAGAATGGCTTTTGTGTTCCTCTAGCTGCTGCAAAATGGAATATCTAACAATGAGAAAAAAAAAGGTATATAAATCACATTTTTACAGCTGTTAAACTTGCTCTACATTTTGGATGCATGTGTAAATGAATTCAACTGATTACACGAGAAGAACCAGCTGGAAGGTGCTTGTGTTAAATCTTTAAGTATGAAATGAGCAACAAAGAAACTTCCATATGAGGGTATTTATCATACGTCTAGAACTGGATTAACTGGATCCTTGAAGTTTATACTGTATAATCAATCCTTAAAGGTGCTTCATAACTCTTTTTTATAAGTACAGATTCCAGTCAATAACTGTAGATTATATTATTTACCATAAAGGATAACTGTTGAAGTCTGTGTGAGGAGGAACAGTCATGTTTTTGTTCTTTTTGAAATGACTGAGGCGTTATTATAGCTTACATTGTACATGTGTTTCTTATATGTTATATATTATCTCCACATATTGTGCATGAGGAGTCCGTGCCTAAATGTAGGTTAGTGCATGGTGAGCTCAGTCAGTAGATGCAGTGCTTTGTTTTCGCCTACAGGGGACATTGTTGGTTAGGATTTCTGTCAGTTAATGGCACCATATATAGAGTCTAAAATGGCTGCATTACAAAAAGACATAAAACCCCTAAATACTCTTAAAAGAACAAATATATTGAAGCTTTATAGATTGTCAGTGCCAACTCAGAAAAAAATGCACTTTGATTTCAAGAACAAAACCACTTTGACTTGTTTTTGCCCATTTGAGCGTCTTTAACCAGTCTGAATGAAGAGCTCCAGTCCCGCGTGAGATGATGAACACAAAGTAAAGTTAGCGACGTCACCGACCTCTAATGTAACAACTGATAAAACTTGATTTAGAATGCCTTAGATAGTCTTAAGGAAATACTACGCAGTAAAAGGTACTAGATTTCTATATTGAATAGAAACAAAAATACTTACACTTAAAATCTACACTTGATCTATCCATTTATATATATATTTAATTTGCAATATATTTACTTTATAATACAAATTATAATCAGAATTACAGAAGTATTAATATAAAGTCTATCAAACATGGAAGCTTTAAAAAAAATTGAGACAGAAAAAGGCTTTTGGCCCGTTTGCAAGCAGAGTTTAAAACTGAGGGTTTAGTATGTTTATGTGTGTGTGTGTGTGTGTGTGTGTGTGTGTGTGTGTGTGTGTGTGTGTGTGTGTGTGTGTGTGTGTGTGTGTGTGTGTGTTCAGCAAGTGTACTGTTACAGGAGGAGGAGCGACAGAGGGGACAAGAAGGAGTCTGTAGTTGCTCTAAGAGCAGTAAGGTGACTTGGATCACAGAGCCGTCTCTTTTAGGTCATTCAGGTTCGGCATGCGGGACCTGGAGGGCCGTCCGAAGCCGTGCCCGTTCTGGCCTCCCTTGATGCTCATTTGCTCGGGGTAGGGGTTTCCCTCAGGGCGGCCCAGGGCAGTCGGGTGCCAGTTGGACTCCAGCTGTCCGGGCAGTGGGTAGGCGGTCTGGCGGCTCTTCAGCTGGGGCGTGCTGACCCCTGAGTGACCGCGGTTCTCTGGATTTGGCAGCGGCTGGTAGCGCATGTCAGACGGAGCCGTCTGATTGGAGGACGAGGACGAAAGGTGCAGGAGTTTGCGCAGAGACTTCAGGGGCTGACTCTGAGAGGAGCGATGGACAGAAGACATATTTCATTCATATTTTAGAACAACAGTCAAAAACAAAGTGAATGAATAAAAATAAATAATAAATATCGCTCATTTCATCAGAGTCTGAAGACACTTAGCGACAACCCTGGAACAATAAACTGTGTAATAATTTAAACATGAATAAAAGAGACACTGAAAAGTAAAAAAGAAGTTAAAACTAGTAATAAACAAATAAACACACAAATGAAAATGATTTGGTTTTTGGTTCTTTTAAATTATTTTGTGCTCTTGTTTGTTTCACTCAAAATGAAGGAGAAGCAGAAATTAATAACACTTAGGAAATAATAAAATATGTGTTGAATCTAAATGATTATGAACAGGAAGTGTATTAAAGTAGTGTCTCTTTATCTTTATTTATAATTAATCTTATTAAGTTGGAACAGATTGGAGATCACTGAGTTGAGCTAGTTAGTTGACGTGTGTGTTAAATGCTTGATGTTGTTGCTTACCGGAGAGTGTGAGTCGGACAGTTTCTCCGGAGGCCAGTCCTTGTCTCTGTCTCGGTCCCGGTCCTGGTCCCGGTCTCTGCTCTTGTCTCGGGACCTGTGGCGGCTGCTCTGATGACCCGACGACCTGGAGGACTTCTGGATCACCGTGTCCACACCTTCATTGGGAACCTTATCACAGCAGGTAGAGACATCAATCCACCTGTCAGTGGTTATCATTTGACACCATCGCTCTCCACACAATGTTGAGGACGACAGGAAAGACACTAAATGTGCTGAATTTTATTTTGAAAGTACAAAAGAGTATGGAGTCACTAGAGTGCCAAAATAGAGAATTAAAAAACAGATGTGGGAAAAACACTTATAAAGAAACCCTAAAAAAAATAAGAAGTGATTTTCATACTTTTCAGAAAATATATATACATTTATTTTTTTAAGGTTCAACTATTTCTTTATTTATCTGTTTTAGTCCCTCATTTTTTCTCATTGTCCTCTAACAGATTTCTTTTTTGGCACTCGGATGACTCCATAATAATTTGTCTCTCATCTGTATTTTGAGAAACGAGGCTTTATATAGAGTTCTATTTAAACTTCTACTTTGAATATGTTTGTGTGTTTCCTGTTGTCCCTCTGTAGTTATTCTCGGAGACAGACCTTTTCATTGTTTGGCCACCAATATAACATAACATGCACAACATGAAGCCGGACACTCGAAGAGTTAATTAAAAATGAAGAAGATTTCCAGATTGATTAGATTCTGTGGGGAGATTTTTTTAATATTTATACAATCTGTGAAATATCTGAAGCCTGAGAGTTTTTCAAACGGTCGACTCATTATGCAGCCATTTTCCACCGACTTGAGTCTGACTGCCTGATTCCTTGAGGCCAGATTGTGTTTATTTGTGCTCTGTCATCAGCTGTAACCCCCTCTCAGAGAGTGAACAGACTGAGCACAAAAATAGAAATGTGAAGGGAAGACAGATCTCCAACACCTGTCTCCTTCTGAACGTTTACTAGCACTGAGGTGGCAGTCAGTTTGTCAGGTTCAAATGTTCAAAAACATCTGAAATTTAGCCACTTCGCCACTTGACCCCCCCCTCCCCTTCCCCCTCCCCCTCCCCCTGACTGATGTCTTTAGTCTAATCATGACTTAAAATACAGATCAGATTTGATGTTCTTGACTAAAAATTGAAAGCTCTCTTGTTTATCCTGAGTTCATGAATACAGAGCTGCTGTCAGGGCGTCGGCTACAATTTAAATCTGAATCAAACACAAAAACAACCAACCAGATCCGTTCGTTTCACAGGACACAGCTCTGTGTGTTAGTAAATATTTTCAATTAAAATATATAAAAATATCCACAATCTGAACATTCAAAGGATACTGCCTCATCCCAATTACACCAAATGATATCTGTAGTGATTATGTTCCTGATAGATGGATCTGACTGGTTCATGTCAGCAGTGGTGGACAGAAACAAAGGACATTTACTTGAGTACTCTACTTTACTTGAGAATTTTTTTTTTTTGTGGAAACATGTGACTTTAACTCGACTACATTTGAAAGACAAATATCGTACTTTTGGACTCTGGTTACTCGCTTCTTTTGCTCTGAAGTCAGCGAATTCATTTTCTTTTCCTGTTTTGTTGCTGCATCTGTATGTGGCACGTCTCTGTGGTTGAATGAAGAGCAAACCCAACTCAGAAAAGATTAAGTAATGGTAATGATGTCCACGGCAGAGAAGGGGAAACCAATGTCCAAACTGTATCTTCAGTCCATGTTTGAAACATGAATGTTGTCTCACTGTGGAAAGCCTGGCTGACATTCTCCCTGCTCATCAGGTATTTTTGGTTGCTCCTTTTATTGTCCTGTTTATTTTGGAGCGGCCAATCTGGAAATCTGTAGCATGTGAGTTAGAGAATGTAAATAATCACAACATAGCAGAATGTTACTCAGGTATTCTTGACTGCACTCAAGCATTGCGAAAATACAACAATGTTGTAGTGTAATGAAGTAGTTTGAATACTTCAGTATATTAAAAAGAAAGTCCTCCAGAACTTTAACTCAACTAATAATCTGACTGAACTCTCACATGTGTTGGAGGAATATTATTTGACCAAGAGTTTCTATACTTTGACTCAAGTCATGAAGTTGTTTACATTGTCCACCGCTGCATGTCAACAAACTAGTTTCTACGTTAATGAATACTCACAAAACAATCAAGGAATATACTCAAAGGGGAATTCTGCCATTTTTAAACCTAGGCCCTCCTTTTTTTTAATATATATATTTTTGTGGTGAAAATATGTTCAAAAACTTGAGGAATTGCTCCATTAATCTGCTTCAGCCTGCAGCCGCGATCAAAGTGTAATGGCTCCAATGTAATCCTGGGGGGCAAATGTATTACAACAGACCATCTATGTTGTTTTTACCTTGACAGACTCAGTGTTTGACATCATAACAAAGAGCATCATCCCTACAGAGACAGACCTTTTTGCTCAAGAATAAGATGCTACATCGCTCTCTTCAAAGCCAAAAGACTCCATAGAAAAAAAAGGAGTCTACTGCAGGAGCACAACCCCTGCAGGGTATGGGACTGTCACTTTAGCAACAGCAGAATGACCTCTGACCACCAACACGGGAGCAGTCATCCTTTAGTCCTAGAGAACATTTCTGCCAGCTGAAGACAGATTCTTTTCATTTGTCCCTGAGATAAGACACCTGAACAACTAGGGCTGTCACAATACCAGAGTTTTAAAGTTGTCATAAATCACATGATATCTTAACATGATTCAAGTAAATCAATACCTGTTTTAATACCATCCACAATGCTCTCTTTCTTTTGGTTCATAATATGAGAATATCTGAAGTGTTTCTAAAGCTTTGCTAATTTTTGATACGATCAATCATTAAAGTTACAGAGATCGTATCATTAAAAAAACAAGGTATCTAAAAGTATCAAAGTATATAGGACTTTGACAATCTTAAAAACAACAATGTCACTAAATGACTGAATGAAATGGGTTTTCCAGGATGTAAAGATGTCACATTGAAATTGACGTATGATCTTTTGGATTAAAACACAAAGTCATCATTTTGTTGGACCTTTTGTTAAATGATGTCAAAACTAGCTTAAATAAAATCATCAGTTATGATCAAAAAAACATTTTCTTAAGGATCATAGCGACCCTGGACACCCAGTTCTTTTCAATTCATCTTTAGGTCTACAGTATTTGTTTGTGTTGTTTATTCCCTCAAGGCTTCCTGAAAATGCCACGGATGGATGAACAGCATGAAAACAATATTATCTGGCCTTGGTGCTGTCTGCTTGAAGGTACAAAAAAAGCGTCTCTCTTAGAAGAGGGGGAACATTTGCCCTGAAAGATTACGTTCAAACAATTACAAACGGTTTCGTGGCTTCAGGCGACTAATCGAACAATTTCCAGACTTTTCTTTTACCCTGTTAGTCATCTCAACATTATGTAAGAAGAGAGCCCAGGTTGAATAATACCACAATTCACCTCCAGGTCAAAAATCAAACAATTAATCAGTAGTGATTGGTGTTATTTCTGCATGCTGTGAGAGGAGGTGAGTAGGATAGTGAAAAACAGATGTACCATGGGAGAGGACACTACAGGGAGGACTCTCACAGAGGAACTATGCTTTATGTTATTCTTTGGGCTAAATAGTGGGAAAAGACATTTCTTGATGACAGGCGGCCTTCCGTCAGGGGCTTGAATCTGGAATAAAGAGGAACATGACTGGTGGCACAGGGAGACATGATGCACATGACAACAAGAACACATGGTTTTACAACTGTGTCACAGTGCTACAGTAATAAGACAAAATGCATTAAGAGAAGGGGCAGACAGAAATATGCATGGCATCAAGAGCATCCAGACACAGCTTACACGATCAGACGTACTGTACATGCAAGTTACCATTTGAGATTTTTTCTTTTTCTTCTTTATTGCTCTGAAGAAACCCTGCTTCTCCTTTTCTTTGGAGGGCTCTGAGTTCAACACTACAGTGTCTGGGCCAGTCCTGGAAACAAAACAAACAGTATCCAATGTGCAACTTAAAATCTCAATGACCTCCTAATAAGACTGGCGGTGTCTGTTAAAGCAATTTAATCTGCCAGAAAACTGCTTTACAGAGGAAAGTAGAGTTAACAAATGTGTGTATTTAAGTTGCAGAAAAGAATGGTGAATTTTCTTTTTAAAGTTCTGTTATGGTTAATAAAGATAAACCAGCGGCTAATACCAGGGGTCGAAGGTCGGCTGGCGTTTGGAGTGGTTGGATAAACCCGAGCCGTCGCTGGAGCCCCGGCTCTGACCTCTGCTGTCGTGAAAGGAGTTGTCTGGCCGGGGAGAAGGGACTGTTCAACAAACACAACAAATATGTTCATGGTGGTAGGAGAGGCAGCATCAACTGTTCAGCCCACCGCTCCAGACTTAAAGAGATATGCAATCATTGAATGGTTTTGTACAGACAAACAAAATTTCAATGTCTTATGAGTTAAAACATTTACATTTAATTTAGCGCCTACTTGTTGGTAAAAACGTTTCTTTTATTAACATATACCTGTAAAACTACATATCCCTCAGATGTATTTAAGTAGGGGCTGTTAAGTGTGAGTTAGCAGTAGCTCAGTATGCGGGGACTTGGCTTTGCAATTGGAGGGTCACAGGCTGAAGTCCCAGTATGGACCAAAGTGTGAAGGTTTGGGTCTGGTAGCTGGAGAAGTGCAAATATATACTTCCTGGGCACTGCTGTGTTGCCCTTGAGCAAGGCAATCCCCAATTTCTTGGGGATTCCTCACTCTGACATCTCTCCATCAGTGCACTGTGTATTCCTGGTCAACGTTTGATTAGTATGCCTCAACAACAGAGTGAAAAAAAAAACACCTTTATTTTCACTCTGGAAAATGGAATCCTTGCCTTCTCTAGACAATTTTGAAAACACTTAACACTTAACATCACTATTGATATCTGCACAAACATCTAGTATGGTTCGGAATGAAAACTAGACTAAAATCCTACCCACACTGCCTTTAAGTCAAGCCTGATGAATGAACATACAATTTGCATGAAATAACACTATAAAGTGCAGTAAACAGCAGTCAAGTGTCTGATACCTGAGCATGAATAGACAGAGCTGCTCTCCTCATAGCAGTGAAAGAAAAAGAAATCAGTGTGACTAAACCAACCTCTGTAGAAGCTGCCCACCCTCCGAGGCATGGATTCACTGTAGATGTTGCGGTTCTCTTTAGACGAGCCCCCATCTTCTGTTTGCTGGTCATGATATAAGCCCACCTGAGTCACAACACAAGATCTTGTCACATAAAAAACTAAACCTCTCTATCTGAGCTGATATTTTTATATACCTAAAAGAAAAACAATAAAGGGGGCATGTGTATTGATTTTCACTTTGTCATTTCATTAAAACAAAACATTTAGGCTGTATTAATATATATATCAAACTGCTCTGGTGACAAGCTTGTATGTGCAATCATAGGTAGTCACATTAAAGGCAGGCAAAGCACACAGAGAAAATGAAGAGGCATCTGATGCGCGGAGAAGGAAACAGAGAGAGAGAGAGAGAGAGGGAGAGGGAGAGATAGAGATAGAGCAGTTCATGACAGCAGCATCCACCCACATCCAGTCTACCGAGAGTGCGGATGTGGGTGGGGAATGGTGGGTGCAGGCAGAATGTCGGACCTCGCTTTTTTTCCGCTGTGTGTGAAAAGATGCGGTGTTGTCCCTTGTTGAGTCCCTTATTGGGGGTCTGCTGTGGATGACCTCAGTGGGTGTCTGGTCACTCTGTTAATGGAGACATGAGCGAAGCATGACATGAGCTCAGCTTTGCAGCGCACAAGTACAATTACAAGCACACATTTGATAAACTATACGAGTGTATACAGTATACATGCATATACAGGTCACATCATTATCTCTATATCCTAATATTTAAGGATAAAAATGCATTTATGTTAATTCTGACATTCTTAGAAATCCGGGAAACTAATTAATAAGATCTGGCTGAAAACTGGAACACACATCGTGATATTTTCAGATGCCATGAGTATAAATCCTGTTGTAGAAACTGAGACTGAGGCAGAGTTATCCAACACAACCTGGTGTAGGCACTGATTAGATCATGTAGGCTTTTCTTAAACTGGTAGAGGTTTGATGTGGGCTGATGACTGACCCTACTCATGTCTTCTTCTCTGGAGGAGCCCCCAGAGTGGCGAGGCAGCGTGCGGTGCTGCAGCTGAGGAGACAGGAGCTGTAGGCTGCTGGCTCTGGTGGGCCCGCCCTGCCCCACCACTAGCCCCTCTTCTGCCCCGTGTGTTCTCTGGTGGTCCCTACGTACGTACATGGAGTGGCGGTGCGGCCGCTGCTGGGAGGAGAAGGGGCTTGTGTACCCCTGGCCATAAGTCAGAGGGTCATGTGGGGCGGACAGGGAGTGAGAGTGGCTCCTTTCGATGCCACCCTCCCCTGGCTCCAGAGTATCCGGTGACTTAGCCTCCTCGGAGGACTTGTGGCGGGCCGACGAGCGTCTGTAGGATGAGTCCAGGGTGTTGCTCTCTCTTTCTGAGCGCATGCTTCCTCTGCTAATCCCACCAGGTCCCAGTCGGTCCATCCGGCGGGCTGCTGGGCTGCCCGGAGCTGTGAGGTCCAGGCAGCTGGAGGGAAAATAGCGAGCTGTTGGCTCGTCAGCGTAAAGATGCACATCGTTTAAGTTCCCCACTGACTTGGCATCACTAAGCGTGCCGTAGCTTTTAGATAAGTTCAGGTAGCTAAACTTGGAGGGGTTTGAGCTGTGAGCCTCCATGTAGTTGTGTCGACTGTGTTTTTCCCCTGACTGAAGCGTGTTGGTCTTTCCCTCTACAAAAGAGTGGCGGTTCTGCTGTGAGCGGAAGTTTGATTTTAGGTACTTGGCTCCTGGTCCATCTGAAACTTTGGACCCCAGGTTCATTTCAAAGTCCCCCTTGCTCTTGGCTTCCCCTGGGCTGAGCAGATGAGGCAGGTTGCTGCTGGCCAGGTCCATGCTGCAGGAGGTGGAGTGGTTGTAGATCTGCGGCTGGTAGTTCTTGGGATGCAGCGTGGGACTGAGGTTGATGGCTGCAGGCATGTTTCCGTTGAGGAAGCCGTCATTGCTGGGGAGGACGTCGTCATGCCGGGGCAAACTGGAGCACTCTCTACTGCTGGAGCGGTGGCTTCCGGAGCTCTTACCTCCATGGCTCCTGAGCGACAGCAGAGAGAGAAAAAGAAAGACATGAACATACTATCCACATAAATTCAGTTTTATGCAATAAATTACAGACTGATGATAAACCTGCAGACTTAGTTCAAATCAAAACCTAGATATTGAGGCATTAAGACTGACTCTTGGCGTTCCACAGGGATTAATCCTGGGACCCATACTCTTTTAAGGAAATATAAATGATACTTAGTCTGCGGTATGACGATAATTCAGTCACATTACTGAGTTCAAAATGTGTAAAGCCCAGTAAAGTGGAAAATCGGTATATGGCTAATGGGGAAAAAACGAGTATCACAACATTTTCTTGTCACCAAACGTAAATTTTGGGCCTCTGCACGGCCTGACTTTTGAGGAGATTACAGAATACAAATTTCTGTCAATTCTTTAATTCCAAAGATTCAGAAGATTTATTATTATATAGTTATTTTATAACTTTTTATATTTTAACCTATAATCAGCAATGCTTTTGATACTATAGATACATGTTTGCCCATTACTTATGCAGTTGTTTTTGTAGTAATTATGTTGATCATTATTCATACTGGATTGAGATCTTTTATGTGTTTTGTTATCTATAGGTAAATTGTTACAGAATAAAATAAACCTGATTAGAAATGTCCTTTAAGGCAATACGGAACATTCTTCAAAAGTGTCTCTGAAGTGATTGCTGCACATGATGCAGATAATATTCCTAAGGGGGCTGTTGACTGTCAACATTGGCCACAATTATATAAAAATTTAAATAAATTGTGAATGTAAATCACAGGAAGAACATGTAAAGCTTCCAATGGCTATAGTTCCCATTCTGACCTGCTGGGGGTGGTGTTGTCTCCATGGTGAGGCTTTCTCTTGGAGGAGCGGACAGGTGTAGGTGTAGTTGGGCCTGGTCGATCCACCAGCCGCAGGGTCTGGAAGGCGTGGTGGTTCAGGCTCTGCTCGGTGAGAAAGCGCTCTGTCGGGTTCAGCAGAAGCAGGTTCTGAAAACACAAAAACACACAGAGGGAGCCGGTGAGTCGAGGAGAAACCCTGAACATCCAGAGCTCCCAAACAAACTGAAACAGTCATGCTATCGTGAGTCACTGCCATTAACATAAAAGTCAGGCTGCAGCTACATTTAATTGTGTCTTCTTGTCACAAAACAAGCCAAACAATGATGTGAAATATAATGTGTGACATTTGCTTTTTGCTCGCTCGAATAAAAATATTTAATACCGTGTCTCCTTGGACTTTAATGAGCTCTGAATCTTCACACACAGTGTGGACTGCAGATAACCTTAGAACTCTTTTATACCTAAAGCTGCATTTCCTCAGCATCAACAGAACTAATTAAACAGACAGCATTGCATTTACTTTTATCATGCATTTCTGTTTAATTAATATCTAAACTTGACTCAACAAGCCTGATAAGTAACTAGAGAGATGCCTGTCCTTGCAGAATTCAGTCCTGAGATGACATTATGTTAGCAGTGAGTCATTATCTGCTGGGAAAAGCGCAAGTGCACAAGCACAGCCCACATTCTTGACATGGAGCTCCTGTTTACAGTGCAGACGCAGCAATAACAGCAGTGCTGGAACCGGGATGTGAGCCCAGAGATGCTGAAACAGTGAAGAGGCATCGTGCAGTCACGACGTAAACACTGCGATAATGATGCAATTATCACGTCTAGTTTGTGCAAAATGGTGTTTTCTGGTGAGTATCTTTTTTTACCCCTAGCATGTAAAAAGTAATACACTGAACCTGATAAAGAAGATAGAAATAAAAACATCCCTGCTCCAGAAATGCTTTGGCAGACTTGTTGAACCTGCGATCCAGTACCTTTAGCAGGTCCAGCAGGCCTCCGCCAATGATTCCCAGGTATCTTCGCTCCAGAGTTTGGGGGTGGTTCACAGCAGGGAACTTGAGAACATGAGAAACAGAGGATTAGAGTACAGCAAAAATGTTGTCATGACATATGTCCAAGTGATAAACGACTGAATAATAACAAATGTGAAGATTGACCAGGCACCTGTACTTTGATTGTCAGCTAGTGGAGTATGTGTAATCAAATCCTTTTCATTGCAAGTGATTTTAACCAACACAGCTTTGTTAATTCTGCCCGTATTGTCCATTTTTTTAACCTGGGACATCTATTTCTTTGCATGCTGACATTGTATATGTTGTCTTCAGTGACATGTCTGACTTCCATCCAATATATTCAGACAATGTTTAAAGTTTCTTATCAAACTGTGCATCAAACATCATGAAAGTATGGTGAAAAGTACTTCAGTAAATTATTTTAGACCAAGCTCTCACTCTTTTTCTCGCAGAAGCTTTGGGTTAAAATATGTCTGAAGATCTGTAGTTTTTTTCAAAGCATTAATACTCTTCAACACTACAACTCAATAAAACAGACATTGTTTTAATACAATTGGTATTAAAAAAAAGTATGGACGTACAATAACCTGAATAGGAGAAAGATCAGGGAGGTAAGTTCCTGCAGTGCTTTGTATGAAATCAACCTGATCTGGTAGTTTATTCTGAATTTTACAGCTGATGTTTAAAAGCAAGTACCATGACAGTGTTGGACTGACGGTTGGTTTTACTCACTAACCTGACATTTGAAGTCAGTGTAAGCTTCAATGTGCAGCTCGACTGAGGCACACGTGGAGGGAAATAATATAAAAGGAAAGTGCAAGTCAGCAGTTAAAGCAACATTATGAAGGGATTTGGTTCGGTGTGCTTTGGCGCCGACTGAAGGTCTCTAAGTGAAACTGCACTGTTGTAAAACACACAGCTCTGTTATGCCTCCCCCACTACTCCCCCTCACAGACAACGTGCATTTGTTGACAAGCAGAGGAGTAGTGTTGTGAGAAGCCAAAAAAACATGTCGACTGACAAGGTACAGCAATATTACAGGATTTTGCGCAAATATGACTCTGCTAGTGTCTACAGCCTGTAGTGGAGACATGGTGTAAGATGGATTTATTTATTTATATTTACACTTGCATTGGATGACTTTCTTCACCAGTAAAGCTGCTTCACATGAGACAACGAGGACACTGATAAGAATGCAGCGTGAAGCGTTACATCTCAAACTGTCATGAATAATAACATTATCATGTACACTCTGCTTCATGCTCGGTCACTCTCTCATTGTCTCGTATTCATGGGTCACCTTCCTCTTTCATCTCTTAGCCTCAGCCCTTGAATCAAAGTAACAAGAAGGGCAAACTGGCTAGTGGCATGAAGACAAACCATGGCCCGCTGCCAAACTTACATAGTGGTATAAACCAGGGACCGATGTGCTCTGTGGATATGGAAGAGGAGTTATTCAGCCTGTTGAAGGTTGTTGTTCTATTAGATCGACTTTGAAGCTATTTTAAGATGGAAAAGTTAATTTAGCTTGGAGCTGGATTTGAGCTGAAGAAAACATGACTTGACTAGTCAGAGAGATGAAGAGCAAGATTTAAATTTCCTTTTTAGATATTTTATTATATATCTCTTTTCACATTATTTTTCCTTCTCCCTTACAAATGACACTTTTCAGACAACTGTCATATCTCACAGGAGCAGAGTTGCAGGTGCGTTTTTTTCCCTCATTTAATCTTCTTGTGTCAACCTCTCTTTCTGACAATTTTTTTTCATCTGACTGTTGTGAATCTGCTGTTTGCCAAGAGAGAAAAAAAAGAGTCCAGAAGCTGTTCTTTTTCCATCACACATTTCCAAGCTTTGCAGAAAGCGCGCCGTAGGTGGCCAATGTGATAAAGCAACCATCAAACATCCTGTGCTCACTCACTCAGTAAGTGTTGTGTGGTTCCTTGCTGCTCTCATGCATTAATATTTCAATAAAAAAACACTGTGGGGTTCTTTCAGACACCAATCTCCTCTCTCATGTTCCTCTTTGCTATAATTAAAATAACCCGACTGGGAGAGAGGCTTAAACAGAAAACGTTCAGTGATCAGTGAAGTTTAATGGCAGGGTGATGCTCTCGTTTTAATTCCAGCAGAAATAGAAATGTCTTAATGAAGAGAGCACTGCACTGTAGGAAAAATGACTGGGTATTAGGCACGACGACAAGATTTAAGGCTCCATAGAACCAAAATTTAACAACAGCCAGCCAACAATTATTTATTCCTCAGTGTCCTACATAAATAAAAATGCAACATAACCAAACAGGGTCATGATCAGTGGGTATTCACTGTCAGGTATTAACAATAGGAGCAATTAACAAACTAGTATCTATATCCTGAGGCGTAGGCAGACAGGGGAAGAGAAGGACGACCCTGGTCTGTTGTGCCACCAGCCTGCCTGCCACAGCAGACTTATCACAGCCTCCCTTCACAGAGCATACAGGATACATGATACACGATGACTCATTGTGATCCAATCAGTCACGGCAAAGCAAACTCAGCCAGATAAAAAAAAAACAAGCAGAGAGAAGAGAGAATAAATAAGAGGAGGCAGAAGAGGAGAGAAGATCAAGCTGAGAACGATGGAAGAAAATGAAGGAGCGGTTATGAATGTATCATGGACGGTAGGGGTCAGCAGAGGGAGTCGTAGAGACAGTCTGGGTAAAGACTATCAGTTAGCACCATGTGGAATTTCAACATTAATATTTCATCTCAGACCTCTTTAAAACCGTAATTCAAACAGCTAAAATACAACTTCAACACTATTTGGTTTTATACATTTTTATCTAAGGCCCTGTGTCCACCTAGTGTTTTTTTCTAAGCACCAGCGTTTTTTTTTCAATGAGTAGAGAGCGTTAGCAGCAGAAAGCGGCCACTTGGAGAAAAGCGCAGTGCCCAGCGTTTTTTCTTCCGAGCGTTCTTTTTTGCGCAGCTGCTCTGAGAGCTCAAGTTGAAAATCTTTCATCTTTTCAGAAAGGCGCTGTCGCTCTTTTCCAAATATTTGATATTCGCTGTAGTTTTGCCATCTATGGATTGTGTCTTGTACACATATCCTCTTTGCTCCATGTCTGATCGGGTAAAAAAACGATCTCAAATATAAAACATGCAGTAAAAAGTAAAGTAGCCGTGTCGGTCATACAGTGGTCGTTGTCAACAGACTGTTGTCATAGAGACAGGACGGACGTGTGGCGCTTTTCTTCTCAGCGCACAGACGCTTCATGCAAACACTCCCTAGCGCACAGCCAGAGCTTTTTTCCCAGGAAAAAATGCAAGGTGGACAAGGGGGCCTTAGGGTTGAAAAGAGGATGATGGTGAGTGTTGTGACAGATTTCTCCAAAGTAATATTTAACAGCATGAGAAATCAGGTCAATGCAAATATGTTATTTCAGCACAGTTTATGTTTGATAAAAAAAAAATCATAAATATGGCACTATAAAGCATGTTTTGGTGTCAACAAGAGCAGTTTAAAACATTCACGTTACATTGAAGTTTTATTTTGCTTCTATAGTGTGCAACATTTGTATCCCAACTGCCTTAAATCTCCAAAAAAGATGAAAAAAAAAAACGAATGCGCTTGTGCAAGTCCTCTGGCTGCAGAGCTTAACATGTCACCTTGCCTAAAGTTAAGCAAAAAGACTTAGAGCTCCCCCTACTGACTGGAGTCATAAAGGCGGCCTCCTCCATGTTAACAGATGGGACATGAGTCAAACTAGAAAATCAAAATACACTACATCATTATGATGCCGATTTTTGTCCAAGTGTTTATTTTTCTGAGTAGTTTTTATTTTTTAATTCTTATTTTAATTCATGCATATAAAGATAGATCTAGTGTCATGATTGACAGCTCTGCTGACAAATCAGAATGAACTTTATTGGCCATGTATGCTTAGACACACAAGGAATTTGGCTTTGGTGAACTGAGCTCTCAGTGTACAAAAGTATAACATTAAATAGAAACATAAATAAGCAAAGACTAATATATACAAGGCTAAATAAGACAATAGTGCAGTGGTGAGTAGTGCATGAGGCTCCTTACAGCTTTATTAACTAGATTAGGAGAGCAGAAGAGGAGAGTTAAAAGAAAACATAAAAAACTAGCTCAAAAGTCATTGAAATTGCATAACCATGATTGCCTGCTTCAAACCAAAACAAGAATCTGTTCTTCTGTGAACTCTACCGACCTGAGGGAGCTTTGAAGCTTTATCAGTAAGTTAAATGTTGTTTTTTGATCAGTGGAAGGGGCGTGGCATCAATCTGCCTTTCCACCAGCCAGCTCCAATTTGTGCATGGCATGTGTCATGGCTCCAAATTATGTCAACAACAGTTTATGTCAGCTTCTGTTGTGGGGTACTTTGGCTTCACTTTTGTACAACGAAGGAGACTGAAACATTGTCCGTATTTATATACAATCAATGTCCTGTACCTGCAGAGTGAGGGAAGGGGACTGTCTAAATACAATCAAGGCTTCACACTACAGTATATGCAACTGTAATGCAACAAAGCAAACCAAAAATGTGTACCATAAGGCTACCTGACAGACCGGGTTGATTGTTTGGGAAAGAGTTGCAGTGACAGCATACTAGTGTGTGGGCTGCTGCATTGGGGACCATCAGTAAGCATTAAAGTGCTACATGGCCTCTTCAGTAGCACATGTGTTTGTAATCTGATGCTGTTACAATCAATTTTATGGTGGTGACTGTTGCAAATACATTTGAACTTTTAGGTGGTTTCACTTTAAAAGTACACCACAGAAAGTGGGGGAAATATATCCTGAAATATTTTTTCAGGACAGACAGTAGGTTGTCAAAGACTTTCAGTTTAGGTAACATCCTCTCTCCTTACCCTCAGCCCGTGGAATCGTGGGTTGTTGTAGAAGAGCTTCATCTGCTCTGGTGGGAGGGGTCCCAACACTTTCTGGATGGTAAAGAGCTGGTCGATCTCACTCTCTCCTGGAAACAGAGGCTGCCCGTCACTGAGCTCTCCTAAGATGCAGCCAACCGACCACATGTCCACTGCCTTCCCGTATGGAGCCCTGTGAACACAAATGTAAGGGGTCAGTTAAGGCCAGGCATCAGAAAAGGTACTTATTTGCCATGTCAGGTTAGTGTACAGTAAAAATCTCCTGGACAAGGTTAAAAAATGGCAGACGAACCCGAGCAGGAGCTCCGGAGAGCGATACCATCTAGTGGCCACATACTCGGTGTAATTGGCATCGGTCCCCTCAGAGAGATTTCGTGCAAAGCCTGGAAACAGAAGAGGAGGAAGCAATAATGTTATAATGAAGAGCTTTTTGATGTGCTCCAAATGCTGAGACACCCAAAAAATGATTTCAGCCGGGCTCCTCTGTGGACACTCGTTATGAACCAGAGGAGTTATAAAGTGGTGGAGTTTGAGAAAAGTTGCACTTATAAAGGATGACGAGTCCTGTGGTTGCACTTGTATAAGTTTGGTTGTATATAAACTCTAGATAATGCTTGACAAACACGATTAATGGCAAATATAATGCAATTTGACATCCAGTACAAGAAGATTAAACTATTGAGTTTAGGTTAAAAACTGGATCCACTTTCCTTATCCCAGAGACATGATGTAAATGTTAACTTCTCAGGTCTTTTTTTGTTTCAAGTTTCAGGTCTTTTTGAAATTAAATGTAAGTAAAAGGACCAGCAGAAGGTGTTTAAGTTTGAACTTCCCTTTACTTGGACCTGAAACTAAAAGAACTGCTCTCATTGGATGCTTCTCAGGTGATTAAGATAACTTGAAGACAAACACAATGGTCTGTAAATATTCTGCCTGATATATTTAAGACTGTGGCATGTATGAACTGGTTTTCATTTGTTATTTCATGTCTTTTTAGCATTTTATAGTCATGTATTAAGAAGTGAAAATCTGCCTTTTTTTAATAGTAATAACAGATCACCAAAAACCTTTGGACAAATAACACTGTGCAGAAGAGATAAAGCAACACTTTACTCTAGACAATTATCACAGCTGCGCCTTCTTGTATCTTTATTTAACCAGGAGAGAAACTCGTTGAGATTAAAAATCTCTTTTTCAAGAGGGTCCTGGCTGAGTCAGGCAGCAGCACAGATAACAGAGTTTCACACAAACAACGATCAGCCACACATACAATTACAAAGAAAATACATAATTAGACTTTAAAAGACACAAATAACAACTTTAAAGAGCAAATGTTTTTCAAGATCATCCAGAAATACATCAGGGAGAACATCTACAGCCAGATGTGTCTGCCTCTAAGTTATTTAACATCCTTTTAAAAGCATCCAACGAGACCAGCTCGTTAAGTTTCAGCTTTTGTTTTGTAATTCGTTCCAAGTAATGGGAGCCACAATCTTAAACTTATGTTTCCCTGGTTCAGTTCTGACTTTTGGAACAGACAGTAAGAAAAGGTCCTGGGATAGAAGATAATAAGTCCCTGTACTCTATGACTGATGGAGGTCAGAAGGTATTGCCAGTGTTTAAGTCTACGTAGGGTCAAAGAAGTCAATCCAACACGTTCCTACAACAGACAGTGATGAGTGAGGGATATAAAATTAGTGATGAACCTCAGAGCTCCATGATACACAGAGTGGCATGCATGTAAAAAAACATCAGATTAGTCCAGCACAGACATAAACGTGGCAGCAACCAGCTTCTTCTCAGATTTAAAAGAGAGGCAGGATTTGATTCTAAAGTAGAATCCCAGATTCAGCGTTAACCTTTTTACCATCTGCTGAAAGTGAGGTGTAATCTACACACTTATTTATTATTTATGTTTATTTTTTCTCCAAAGGGCATTTCAAGGGACCAAGCTGCACTGACACTTTTAACCAGTCTTTTTTTACAACAATGGCTTTACTTATTCAGTACCCTACTTATTCACACTGTGCCACTTTTTTGCAGTACATACTGTATCTACATTACCCTGTTTATTAAAACTGAATTTCTTAAAATATAAACCAAGAAGGCTAAGAAAAATTTCTTATTTAACCATTTCTGCATTAAAGGGGGATTTCAAGCCTCTTATTAAATGTTTTTGAAAAATGTCTTGAAAAATGAAAGCCAATGCGGAAATTGCAAAATCCTGCAGTAGTTTTTACAGCATAAATAAAGCCTGGTACAAAAAATGAAGTAGGTCTGATTGGTTATTGTGATCCCTGGCACACAATGTATGGTGGATTCATTTTTTAAAACGGTCTTCGTTTTGATTTTGAAAAAGATATGTGTTATCTAGGTGGCCACAATGTAATGGTTCGTCAAGAGGCTTGAAACCCGCCTCAGCTTCGGTTCTAAGCCTGTCGTTAGGTTGAGAGATGGCTGACGTCACTCAGGCTTCTTCCGTTAACATTTAAAGTCTATGGTTTTGACAGAGCTTTTCATGTTGATTTAGGGTATTTCTCTAAATACCATTCAAAATCAAAACACACAATCAAATTAAAAGTGCAGAGAAGCCTCTCAAGTTAACTTTGACAGTGGAGTATGTTGAGTCTATGTTTGCTCTCTCGGTGCCTTTGGCTGACACAGAGCAAACAGCAGGTCTCCAGTCATTCACTCCAGATTGCCTACATGATGCTGGCTATGCTGTATTTCCCGTCTTGTTGTGGTGCTACCAGATTGAGTCAAAGCATGATTAGCCCCTTGTTTTTCCAACACGTTTCATTAAGTGAGACGGGGGGAATAATGCACAGCATCCGCCTGCTGAGACCAGGGAGGAGGGCTGCGCACAGCTTTACAGAACCGGATGAAGCTGCCTGCTGCCCCTCTGAAACACTGGTTCCAGCCAAATATAGTCTCAGTTGAAAATACTTCTTTTACATCACAGCTTAGACCGTTTGGCCACCTTCCCTTACAGCTCCTAAGAGTGCGAGCTTCTGATAGATGTGCTCACCAAAGTCACATAACTTGAGGACGTCATCGGAGCTGATGAGAAGGTTTTCTGGCTTTATATCTGAGGAGGAAGAAGACAGATGGGGGGTAAGACACTGCATAAACTGATGAGGGGGCATCATCATTACATCATCACTACCATCAAACTGTCATCTGTCTCATTCAGGAGATTTTAATGTTTCACATTTCCTCTAATTTTGTAAAAAGGCAGCACACCAAGATGAAAGACATAGAATGAAAACATTCACAGATTGAGAATAAAAGACATAACTAATACATTATATCCCCTAACCCATATGTGAGCCTGAGTTTTCCACAGGCCATTTGGATGCCTGCTCTGTTGCATCACTTTGCCAGAAGCTCACATGGACCATCTGGTTTCCTGCTCTGCTGCCACTGATCTGCCCCAGAGCTCACATCTTGTGAACAATGGAGGAGAAAATGTAAAGACACTGCTTCAGTAGATAAGAGAAGGAAGGCATAAGCTATTGTTCACTGACAATAAACAGCTTTAGTTGCATTTGTTTTGTTGATATGATCCAATTGCTGAATCAGGTCTAAAAACTTTGATCTTTGGAGCTACAAGAGCCTCATCCCTCTAAGGATGAAGGACCCTTCAAAACAATCTATAAATCATTGTCTAAATTGCACATTTTAAGTACATTTAGGGCACACCAAACCCTTTTTTTTAATTTAAATGACACATTCATGATTATGATCTGGGCACAAGTGGAAGAGTAAGGTCTATTTACCAATGATATTGAACCTAACTGTTCCAATTTGCACCCAATTTTTCTCCAATTGACTTTCAAAAACATGGTGCTCCTGCAGCTGGCGCCTTGCTCTACATACTAAGGACTTTAGATGTTTTTCTTAATAGACTCAGGTCCAACTCGGGCTCATTAAACTTCTCTCTATTCACTTGAATAGCCAGAGAACATTTAGACCACTCTATGAAATATTGTGATGCCAAACTTCAGTCAAACAGCAGCATTGCAACTACAAGTCTATCAACTTTAAAAGAGAAGCTGTACTCATTGATTCACAAGCAACACAACATCATAACTTCTTTGATGGTTTAAATCTTGAAACACATGGTCAGAATCATATATTTAATCTATCTGACTATTGTGTTCCAGAAAAAGATGGAAAATTACAGCCGTCTGTCGCTCAGGATAGCATTGTGCTAAGAATGTGCCTGATCACACCTCATTTGAATACTTCATGCCTACGGTTGCATGCATGGGCACAAGTACTTAAAAACATGGGTGCTAGGCTCCAAGAGGACCCTTTGTCGGTCTGAAACTAATTTTGAAAGTTGCTCTTTAGGCTGTTTGCACCACACACAGACTCTTACAGAGACCCTGCACTGTCTGTCTGTCTCTCTATCTGTAATATTTCTTGTTTATCCTGATAGATAAAAACAGAAAAAAAGGAAACAGCACGTACCCCTGTGAACTATGTCATGCTTATGGCACCAATGAATGGCTCTGATTAACTGGTAGATGTAGCTGCGAGCTTTGTCAGTCGGCACGCCGTTTGGTAACTCCTCCAGCAGCTCCAGCATATTCTGAAGGAGAGAAAAAAAACACCATGAAAAAAGATGAAAAGATGGCTGCCACACTGGATGACAGTAACATCCAGAAGACACTGTGTATCTCCTGAAAAGATACATACCTTCTCCACATATTCAAACACCAGATAAAGCTTTCCTCTTCTGCGGAAGGCTTCCTTCAGCTCGACTATGTTCTCCTGTTTGAGGGTCCGGAGCATCTTAAGCTCCCGTAGCGTCGTTTCTTTGACCTCCTCATTTTCTGCAAAGAGGTCAAGACAGAGGAGGACTCATGGTCGCATTCAGGCTTACATGTAGTGACCATAACATAAGTAAAGATTATTAACTGTATCTTGAATTGAAAAAGTTTTATAATGAGGATTGATGTTCCCTTACCTTCACTGTCCTTGAATTTCTTAATTGCCACAATTTCATTTGTATCCTGCAATAAAAGCACAAAACAAAAAGTGAGAAATCAACCCTACTCTATGTTAATTTTTTTTACATCATGACAGCAGAGATGAAAACGCTTACTTATAACACTATGACAGTTGTTTCTTTTGCTAGTGATACTGCTAGCAGTGGTTAAAAAGAAGATAATCAGTGATTTTTTTTTTTTTAAATGAACTATTAAAAGACAAAATGTGTTCTCAAATGAGTGTTAAGCTGACTTTAGCTCACCTGAAAAGGAGCTGTATGAATTTATGAGTACAAATGGTAGCAAAGCTCTTTAGTTAGTGGTCAGGTTGTTAAACAGATAAAATATATTTAAGAAAAAAAAAATGAAACCAGGGCATTCATTGAAATATACAGGACATCCAGATTTTAAACACAGAAGAATCAGTGTTGGTACATATGTAGAGTGAAGCTTGTAAACAGAGAGAACACATAGATGACAATGGCAAAAGGACAAAAATACATCTTCAAAAAAATAAAGAAATAAAAATAAATTCTGGCGTTTGATGGCAGCCAAATGTTATGATCAAACTGCGACACAGCCACCTGCCACTCCAACTTCAACAAATCTCCAACTAATCTGATGATCCATTGATTATTCCATGTTTTTTTCTGGAGGTGTCTTACCATTATTATTCTTAATTGATGATCTTAATACTTTATTTGACTTTATAAGACTTTGTTTTGTATTTTGTACTGTCTAATGCTAAAGAACTTTAGTTCATTTTTAATGAAATATCTGCTTTTATTCTATAAGAAAATAACGAGATCAAAATTGACAACATTAACTTATCCACAGACGAAGCTGTGCCGCTGTTGCTGCAGGAAGCAAACAGCGGTGGCTGACGGTGCGCCGATAATGACAAAATAACATTCTATGAATGAGATTTTAAAAAAAATGCATGCGTTAATTTCTGACTTCGCTATTAAAGCGCTAACACTTACATCCCTTATCTTTCTATTGCTCTATCTATTGGTTTTGTAATACTTTTGGACAGTTTAAGACGTCACCAGTGAATCTAGGAGACAGAATGTCAGCGGTCATGTTACTCTCATCAGAGTCCTTGGCAAGAAACTCAACATCAAAAGAACAAAAGAGGCACAGACACTCTCTCCAGCATTTATAAAAGTACAAACAAAGAAATAACAGAAAGCTACAGCCTAATCTGCTGAAAAAGAATCCAATCACATAGAAATCCCCCACAAGCAGACGTTGCTTCAATAAATGGGTCACTTGCAAATTGATACAAAACCTCGGCTGATAGATTAAGTGATAGATTCAGTTCATCTATCATCAGCAGGAAAAAGTTTACAGCTGTTAGAATGCAATTGCAAAAACCTCTTGTTAAAGTAAATGGCATCCGTGTACCCTAGATATGAACAGTACATGAAGTGAAGAAAAAAATTCAGACCTAATCACCACTGAGTCACTGTTTCAGACACTTTATATCATTACTTTATATCATTAAGTTCTCTGGGAGAGACGACGCCCAGGCACTAGCCCCGTTTCTCGACATGTCCTACTTAGGCCTGGTATTTCTGCCTATGGCTCAGAGCTGTGCTCCAGTTTCCCACCCCCCCTCAGAAAGCCAAAGGCGGCATCGCACCCTCCAACATGGATGGCATTGAGCAGTGAGCCCTCCTCCCAGCGCTGAGAAACACAAGATGACTCACAGCGGGGTCAGCTACATGAGCATCACTGTACTGTGTGCACACACACACACACACACATACACACATACACACACACACACACATACACACTCACACACACAGCAGAGTGAGTGAAGGGAGGCGATACTCTGCTGCAAGGTTTAGATTAAATAAGCTGTAATATGTCTAAATATTGTTCACTAACAAAGGTGAATTTAACAACAAAGGCAGTACACCTCCACGGTTCGGTACTGGAAATATGAGTCATTAATGTCAAGGTAAGCCTCTACAGTTGTTCCTCCCTGTGAGGAAAACATTCCAGGAAGTCACAACAAGTGGTTAACTGTGTAAATCCACATAAAAAAAAAAGGTTTAAGTCTATCTGAGATATTGTTAGTGACGTAAGAGGTGATGTTCTCTGGATGGATTTTGATTGCAGGATGCCTCCAGTTTAACACTGAACACATATAACTATGCAATACATGGCTGGCTCTTTAATATATAAATTCTATCTGTTCCTTTTATTTTTTCTTGGAATAGTAGTTTGATGTAGTTCCAAGAAGAAAACTTGTACAGTGGCTAGCACTGTCGCCTCACATCAAGACTGTACTTAGTTCGAATCCTACCTGGACAGGGGGTTTCTGCTAAGTTCAGAATCATAGTCAATTTAGTTAATTGGTCAAACTAAATTGGCCTTAAGTGTGAGAAGTGTGAGTGGCACTTGCAAAACGTCCTTGTGGAACCACAGATGGTTGCCTCTTTTTTTTATCTCAACATGGTGACAATGTGATAGCCCACATAGTAGACCATAAACATGAGGACAGTTTCAATAGTCCTCCAAACATACACATCAGAGGATTTGGACCAGACCTCGAGATCACACACCTGCCATTTGCAGTTATGATCTCACAGTGGTGATTGCACAGACTTGAGATCTCACAGAAAATTGCGTGATCACATCTAACTTCAGAAGAAAAACAAACATGTTTGATATTTACGATTCAAGATGAGGGAGGTTCTGACTCGATCAGGAGCTATAAAATAATCATATAGACACCACACACTTAAGGATTATTTGGACTAATAATCGGTTGTGACAAGCCTTGAGTCAGGCCACACCCCCCTGGGCCTTAAATCATCTAGTCTGTAGCCATCTTAACAGAGAAGACGGAGCTCTATTTAACAAGTCTGCTCCTAAGAGTTGTAGAGTATAAAGTGTGTCCACAGACAGAGACCCAAAATCACCCCCAACCTCACAAATAACATTCCAAACTAGTAACTTTACAACTTCAGAGACCCGAGTGAACCTGTCGGAATTATTTGCTCCAGTTCCCCGAACATTTAATCCAACATTTAAGTCAGTTCAGTTTATTTCTGCTTCATATACCAACCACAGAACGAGTTTCAGTCAGGATGAAAACATGAGAGTGTAGAACCAACGTTACCACACTTCCCACTGATCCCTCGTTTGTTCTTATGGGTTTTAGCTGTTTTTTTTATTATGTGTGATTGTTCATGTTGGAGGGATCAGTGCAGAGCATCAGCTGCTTCGCAACCCTCTTTGTGTAACATTTTATTTTAAGCTCTTTAGGAATTCCCATGTGGCGATGGACTGTGAGGCTCGTTTGTGTGGGAGAGAGAGTGAGCTGGTAAAATAATATTTACCATCAACATGCAGTCATTCTCCCACAACCTAGAGAGAGCAGTTTAAAATCTGGGATCACACAAGACCACCACTAGATACCTTGCACAGTAAGGGTCCATTAAGGTACATTATGTATTGTAAAAAGAAAAGCCTGTAGTCTTCAGTCAAAAAGAGCTGGAGGAAAAAGAAAACAGCAAAACAAAGTTGACACTAAATTTAACGGGACATAGTCTATGGCCTTAATCTGGTGATCCAGTTTACCTTGACTCACTCTGTTATCTATAGAAATGATCAGATTAATGTGAATAATAATAATAGATAAGTAAACCAGTTCAAAGGAGGCTACAGAGTTTACTGACGATGCCGTGTCCAAAACAATCGTCTATCATCTGACAACAATATACGCCTGTGGTAAGGATGGACAACTTCTTACTCGTTCTAGTGTAGCCAGTAGTTAGCTTTAAACAACTTCCAGACTTCCTTTTTCAATGTGCTGCATTGTTTATAGTCAAATTACTTTAGATGCAACCATATGTTCAGATCAAAAACCTGCCATTTATCTGTATCTGAAACATCAACGCGGGTGTGGGAAAAGTGTGAAACAACAGGAACTCGACGTGAGCTGATGGTGAGACACATACAATTGGTTGACTTTGATTAATAGTGTTAACCATACAGTAAGTTAAGTAGGTGGTTGACAACATAGGTCAAATGTATTATTATCTCTCATAGGGCTGGAAGATATGGACCAAAACTCATATCTTGATATTGATTAGCGGAATGGCAATACTTGATATATATCGATATGTATTTTATTAACAGTGAAAACACATGGAAAATGAACTACCTGTTTGTGAATTTTAAAAAGTAATATTATAAAATAAAAATGTTCCTTAAATACAATAAAAGAGAGAGAGAGAGGAGGAGCAGGGTTAAGAGGGACAGACAGTCAGTCATCATCAGTGAGATGAGAAAAAGGTGAACTGGCATTTCTGTAACGTTATTTTAATGCAACATAAACTATACTGATATTAACGATATGTCTTACCCTATATCTTCTTTGAAAATATATCGATATATCTTAAAAACTCGATATATTGCCCAGCCCTAATCTCTCATTTCTTTTCGTCTTAGATTTGATATTTTTATCAGGCTCAAAAAGTCACAAAAGCACATTGAAATCTAGCTCCAGATGATACATTCATTTACAACTGATGCTAATGCAGGAAGGAGTTGATCCTTTGGAAACGTCAGAGTCAAGTTTGTCGTGGTCAAAACCTTCACAGCGGAGACACTGATAGATCCGTTTTGTGACTGTAAATCTCACCCACTGGAGATGGCAAAAGGCGTTTAATTAATTACTAAGTTATTCATTGTTCATAATCTTGATTAAGGAGTCATCTCAAGTGTTTTCAAAGAGACAATTAGTCAGAGGGGGATGCAGTCATACCACTGCTGTGCAACATTCCCCCATCGTGCATCATGCTCTCTAACTTTTCATCCGCTTTGACGTGGATGATGCCAAACTTTAAACACTGAGCCTGCACTAAGGGCATCAATTAAGTGTCAAAGACTTTTGCTTTTGCACGGAGCACAACATGATCAAATTGCCAAGCTCCTCAGTTATGTCTCTCACTGTCCAAACAAGGAGATCAGACATGAGCTGCTTGGCTGTGAGAGTTGTTAAT